GTCATCTATTAAAAGAACAATATGCCCAGAACAAGTAGATTAATCCAAAAATGTTTCAAAGTTATGAAACATTATTATAACTCATTGTATCAAGTCAACAGAGAAAAACAACGTAAATATCTCCATAGATATCAAAAAACCATTTCATAACATTCTACATTCATTCCTGATTTTAGTCACATATTAAGTAGAAATAAATACTTCAATAGCATTATGAAAAATGTAGAGCCTAAATTTATTTTTACCATATTAAATAGTGAACCAGAATCAAGATAAAAATTTCTATTATCAACAATTCAATGTTTTAGAAGATCTAGCCAATACTATAAGACAAGAAAAAGAAATAAAAGAGAAAAAATGCTGAAAAAGGCAAAATTTGCATTATATAGAAATGAATGGTTCTTTACCTAGAAATTCCAAAACGTTCAACTAAAATCTTGTAGACCAAGTGAGAGAAATCAGTGAGACAGCCAATAACAATAAATATATAATCTCTTCACAACACACCAGTAATAAGCAGTTATGAAATATAAGAAAGAGGAATAATACAAGCAATACTTAATTCCTTGAAATAAGTTAATGACAAGTGATAAATTTATAAAATCTGACAAAATGTGAATATATACATTAAACTGCAAATAATCATGCACAGCCCAAGTATCAAAAATATCAATTCTCTGTAATTTACAATTTTATGAAATTTCACAGAAAAGTTCTAACAATTTTTTTGAACTCCACAATATCACTAAAATTCATCTGGAAGTATCAACAAGTGAGACTAATCAAGATAAACTTGAAAAATAAGAATTAAGGAAGACTATTGCCACCAAATGATAACACACATTATAACAACACCACATATTGAAACAAAGTAACACTGGTGTAAGAATAGGCAGATTAATGGAATAACAGAAAGCCACAACAAGAAACAAAAACTATAAAAATATCCAGCATGTGGTAAATGTGGAAATGGGACATATACTTATTTCTCACAATAATTAAATTAATGGATTGAAGAGGCAACTATAAAAGATGAAATCATGGAAAAACTAGAAAAAATAAAGTGACTATATGAGCTCAGGATGGGAAAGGTCTTTCTAAACAAGAAGAAACTATAAAGAAATTTTTGTGATAGATTTTTGCAACATAAAATTTTTAAGTTAAAAATTTCATGAAGAAAAAAACATTGGTAATACATGATAGAAAAATAGTTACTATTCTAATTTTGAAAGGTTTTATAAAATAAAAGTAAAAGATGAACACACCAAGAGAGAAAAATGGATAAATAACTTCCAGCTTAATATGGTGAATGGAATATAGACGTTCACCTGCCCCTGGCACCCCTTGAAACTGCTAAATGCGTGTGAAGAGACTTTCATTTTGAGCATAAGTACACAGAGACAAAGGCAGAAAGATAGGAGTTGTAACTGACTCGAAGCTAGGAATCCTAAACTGGCTCTGAGGAAAACAGAAATAAAGCCCAGCATTCTAGGAATCCACAGAAGTCTCAGGAATTGAGAGCACCAGGTACCCCAGTGTGGGAGGAAAACTTGGGCCTAAATGATAAGAGTTGGCTGAACACCTGTTTGAGAAGGCAGCTCCCCAAATCCTCACTCGCTGGGCAGAAGTCTTCCTTAACCCTGAGAGAAGACTAAAAATGTGTTACATGGAGACAATAAAGTGAAGATAATTAGAACAGAGACCTATCTATTTCATCTGTATTTATATCGAGTTGAGAAAAACATATAACATGGAGGTTAGAAATACACACACTTGGAAAAAAAGATTAGAGGTTCTATAGGGAAAAGAAATTTTGAGAAAATCTATTAATATTATCAGGAAGCTCAAAGAAGCAATTGCACCCATGAAACAAAATGTTATAAAATAAAATTTAGAATATAATATAAAATCTTGAGTATTAGAGACCAGAGAAATGAAAATAGGTCAAAAGATAAATAAAAAAGTTATCTCAGAATGGGAACAAAGAAATTAAGAGTGGACAATCAGAGGGGAAAATATAAGAATATTAGACAACTAGTCAAGGAAATCCAATACTCGAGCAATGTAAGTTCTAGAAAAAGAAATCAGATGGGAGGTCATTATCGAAGGAATTGTTCAAGAAAAATTTCCATAACTGAAGGACACAAGATTTCAGATCAAAAGGACCTGGCAAAATAGATGAATGTAGCGCCACATCAAGTCACATGCAAATGAAATTTAAAACACTAGAAGACAATGAGAAAATCCTTTAAGTATCAGGAAGGAAGGGGGAGGATCACATAAAAGGGATAATCCCAAAGGCTTCAGACTTCTCAACAATGCTAGAAGTCAGAAGACAATTATTTATGCTTTCAAAAATCTGAGGAGAGAAAAAATGACCAACTAGAATTCAATACCCAGACAAACTATCAATGTCAGTGAGAACTAGACATTTGCCTTTTCACATGTGAAAGGTCTCCAAAAGTTTATCTCCCATGAATCCTTTTACACTTTGCTAGAGTGTGCACTGCAGCAAAACAGGGGAATAAACCAAAAAGAGAGGATAACACAGGGTTTATGACATCAGGGAATTCAACCAAGGAGAAAGGATCAGGGGAATCCCTAGGAAGAAAATGAGGGAAGAGCCCAAGACACAGGCAGGAAGCCCAAAGATCAACCAATCCAGAACAGAGCAGGCAAGAGGTGCCAGGAAGAGATTTGTTTAAATGATAAAGCATGAAAAAACAAACAAAACACTAATGTGTTTGAATATATTGATAAGCTTAGGATAAATTTGTGATGTTCATTAAAATCCAACCAACGAAAAAAAAGTAAATAAAAGAAAGAAAAAAAAAACAAAGAAAAAAAGACACGGCAATTATCAACTCCAGAAGAAACAAAAAGTTTGAAGAAGAGATAAAGCATCGGATATTGCATTGTTCCATTGTCAAGAGTGTTTACAATGTTGTGATCATGTAAAGACTGAATACTGATCAAACAAAACTGAAGTAAACATCTTTGAGCGGAGGTGTGCTTAACGGATGTGTGGTGAACTCAAGGGCATGTGTGAGTGAAAGTCATACCTTCTGTGGGTAAAGAGTCAAGATAATGCCTAACCCCCCCCCAAAAAAAAAATGAAGAAGAAAAGTAAGAATATTACTTAGAAATATGGATATAAATGTCAAGAGAATTCATTTAACAAGCAAACCTGTTGCGCTGTGGAGCAGGATATTGAAGAGTTGGGAGGCTGGAGGACTGAGGCTTCTAAAACAACCTTGCAGAACTATGTGACTCAAAATGATGCACATGCGTGACCTCATCTAAAATAAACTAAATGAAAAATGCAAAGGACCTGAACTGGCCATTCAGATACTACGAAGAACCAATAAAGATAGGGGGGGATATGCTCATATCAAAGGTAATAAAAGAGCTGGAAATAAAGAGAACGGAAGGCCATGTTTTGACCAAAGAGCCAATGTTAAAAACCTCCATAATTAGCAGAGAAGCAGGCACTTCTTAAGCTAATTCTGAGACTGTCAGTTGGCACAAAGTTTGAGGAGGTCAATCTGGCCATAAAAAGCTCATGGCTCTTGAGGCGGTCATTTCACTTTTAAAAGGAACCGAGGAAACAAGTCAGGGATGCGTGAGGATGAAGGAACACGGCTGCTCACCCCAAGGTGCTCTAGCCAACTTTTAGACTTATCTAAATATCTGATGCGAGTGAACCAATTAAACCAATTATCTAAATATCTGATGCGAGTGAACCAATTAAGCCAATTATGGTATAGTCATTTGCTGAGACACTATGTAACCATAGAGACAAAACAAAAAAACAAACAGGAAATTACTTAATGGCATGGGAAAACATTCAGAGTTGGGTGAAAAAGTTAAGATGACAGTGATGATCCCCAATTAAAAATATACATACATACATATGCGTATGTACACACACACACACACACACACACGCACACACGAAATGGATGGGGCAAACACAAGATGAGAGGCGGGGCCCACAATGTGGGCAGTGGTCATCTTTGAATGGTGGGACCAGCTTATTCTTTTTAGCATTTTATAAGTTTTTATAAGACAGATGCATTTTTCCTTTGTAATGAGAAGAAATGTTATTTTTTAGAATTACATTCAAGATGTTTCAGTTATTGGCTGAGGGTCCTTTATGGGAAATGTCGCATGGCTCCCACTGACTGCATCTCCATGACAGTTCACAGAATGCAGTGACCTGCATACTTTTGAGGACACTCGCTTGGGGCAGGAGTGTGACGGTAACCCTGAGCCCCGATTCAAGTGGCCAAAAAGGGCTCTTTTTGGTCAGCTGGGAAGTGAACTCGGCCCCACCGCCTGGATGAGACCTGAGACCAGTCGGACACCTGTCTGGGGTCGAGGGTCAAGGGTCGAGCCCCTGCTGACCTCTCCTCTTGGCTCACCCTTTCCCTAGAAGGACCTTGGATAACTTTGAGCAGCTTCGCTACTGGCCCTGCAGTACACTTAGAGAGGCATCTGCCAGGACTGGCCCAGCCTCCCCTGCCCTGCCCCAGGTGGGTGTGCACCTGCTGGGGCCATTGAGGCCCTCAAATGGGCTGCACCCACCCATGTGATCACCTACGATCTTCACATGACCTAGACCAGTGGTTGCCAACCTTTATTTGGCCACGCCCCACCTAGCATCTCTAGAATCCTGATGCCCTCCACCCTCGGTGACATATAATTCTTATTATTCAAAAAGCGAACTCCTATTCACATGGAGGAACCCTAAAAGGCCACTAACTTGGTCTAAACAAGCTTCCAAAGAACATGGCATCCATGAAAGACAAAAATAAAAGAACAAAAGGACAGCTGAAGTACTAAGGAAGAAATCGCTAAGAAATTGTTAAAAAATAATAATAATAATAATGATGAAGTGATATGACAAAATAGCAAATAAAGTTCGAAACATTTAATAGAGAACTGAAATTCATAAATGTCACAATATATACTTATATACTGTATATGAGGCCCCTAGAACCATAAGAAATGCAAAACATTCACTGTTAATAACTCAATTGCCCCCCTTAAAAATCAAATTGCCCCCCGGCAGGCCTGTGCCCCACGTTGGAACCACTGACCTAGACTGTCTGGCCCTTTCCCACCGGCATGTATGCTTCCTAGAGTGTCAGCAGGAGACGCAGAACTCACCCGGGAAGCGAGGGCTCCACCGTCAGAGGCGTCCTCTCAGGGGGGCTTGTGCTCAGGCAGCCACACCTCCAGGATCTTTGCAGACGACCTTCGAGACAAGAAGGCCATGTCACAAAACCCAACTGTCTGACCCACGGGGTACCGGGAGCATGGAACCACTCCTGGGTGGGGGACTCAGCACCGGGGACAGGATACTCAACATTCCAGGGGAAAAGGATAGAGATGGTATTGAACACGGGTGTTCTGTACGGGGAAGACCTTGAGCAGCTCCAGTGGGACTGGGGCGTCAGGGAGACCCTCCCAGAGTGACAGAGCCGATAGGAGGCGTGAACTGGGGAATTAGCAGACACTCAGGATGAAGCAAGGAGCAGGGGGCAGGTGTCGGGTCTAGCCAAGGCCTCTGGGAGATAGTAAAGAGCATAGAATAGGGGGCGGGGTGGTTATGCAGTTGGCTGAGCAGATCAAGGCTCTCAGACTTCAACTCACTGAGTTCCTGCTATTGTTACTCTTATTGCCGGCAACCCCAGGTAGAATTTGATCAAATTCTATGTGTACCTGGGGTTGCCAGCCATCATTGTTTCATGACACCAGACATCGTTGTTCCATGAAGGTTCTTTTGTATTTTGATCTTTATTCAACATTTTAAGGATTAAATGCCCATTCATAAACCCACCACAGCTCTAAGCAGAGCAGAAACACTAACTGTAACTTGCCCCCCCTGGGCTGGGTGGTCCTGCAGCTCCCTGTCAGCCCTGCCGAACACGGCTGAGACCCACCGTGGCCACACCCCTGATCTGGATTTGAGAGTTGAGCTTCACCACACCCTGTTCCCATCGATACAGTCCCAGCCATGCCTGGGAGCTCTGCTCGTTGAAGAAATGGCTGGTCTGAAGGACAGACAGACAGCCCAGCACCCACAGGAAGCTCTCCCCAAGGTCATGAAAGCAGGAGATTGGGAGCAAGTGGAAAGGGGCAAGCTCCGGCAGGCCGAGGGTGGCCTGCACCCAGGGCCCTGGTGGCCAAGCCAGAAGCGAGGGTCTGAGCTCTGTGGCCAGAGGAGCCTGGGGAAGGCACTGGGCATGGAGTCAGGGCTGCCCAAGCCAGACTGTGGCCCTGATGGGACCAGGAGCATGGCACTGCCTTCCCAAGGCTTGTTTCCTTGTTTCCTCAATGAGGGCTTGATGTCACCCATCTCCAACTTGGTGACAATAGCCATAATGTAGTTACTATTCTTCCTCCTCATGTCTGGGACAAAGCCCCAGTCCCATTTAGTGCTCAGGCACTTGTCCCATCGTCTGCAGGACCAACTCAGGCTCCTCGGGCTCTGGGAAGGTCTGAGGCCTGAGCCGAAAGCTTGAGAAAAGAGCTAATGAGGGTGACCGTGACCGAGCTCACTCCAGCTTCATCAGAGAGGCAACCAAACCGCGGAATTCTTCCTGCAAACCGTCGGCCCGCTCAGTGACAGCGGACTTTTGTTTTTCATCTTCCTTCCCTTCCCTTCTCGGAGAGGAGGCCCAGCGACCTCGCAAACCAGGCTTGGCTCTGGCCAGTGGCCACGGGGTTTCAAATTTTGAAACGGGCCTTTTGCAAAATGTTCAGTTTCAAGCCCTAGTCCAACTGCCCACATCCTGTCCAAACTTCCTGGGGGAGTGAGATTTATTTAAGGAAGGAATAAAATCCCCATGTCTGTGCCATGGACTGCAAACACGCTCCATCCCAGGCAATTTCAAGGATTAAGGTTACATATTTCTTAATGAGCCACAGGCAGAGGCACAGTGGGGTGGGCAGGATCGGGAGGACAGGCCTCGGGAGGGAGGGAATGCTTCTCCTCAGAACCATGGACCCTGTCCTGTGCCAGGATGACAACCTCACAGTCATTCTTTCGTGCATTCACTCCGTCATCCAACCAGCATTCTGACGGACCCATCAGCCGTCAGAGCACTAAATGGGACTGGGGCTGTGTCCCAGACTTTGAGAAGGAAGACTAATACCTACATTATGGCTACTGTCACCGAGTTGGGGATCCACTAGCAGAGGTTCCACACTGGACAGTAGGGGCTCTGAGGCCCCCAAGACTGAGTATCCACACTCAGGGAGCTCAAAGTCTGATTGGGAAGGTAGATACCTAAATAGGTCATGACCGAGCAACAGACGTTTCTGAATGGAGGTCAAGTTTGCAACCGTGTATCCGTTCTAAGAGTGGGGTCATCCATCCCTCCAGCTAGAGGACGAGCTTGTGCAAAGGCCCAGAGACACAGACACACAGAGACTTGGGGAAGCGGCTGTGGCTGGTACAAAAGGCCAGGGAGCGTGTGGTGGGAGGTGTGGCTAGAGGCCAAATCATGAAGACCCTTGAGTGGGAAACCAAGGGGCTTGGACTTCCGCCTAGAGTTTCCAGAACTCACAAGAAGGCTCTAAAGAGCATGGGACTCATCCTCAAGCCTTCTAGAAAGATGACAATGACTAGAGTGAGAACAGACTAGAGCAGGGACAGGAAGACCAACCAGAAGACTGACGTGAGCCCACAGTGACCCTGGCCCACTGGAGAGATGCTAAAGGGGCGGGACTGGAGTCAGAGGTGCGCTGTGGACACTACAGCAATGTTAGCAGTGGGAGGGCTCCTGGGGATGCCATTGGAAGAGGCTCAGGGTGAATATGGGAGATGGAGAGAGAAGAAACGGCCAATGCAATGCATAGCCACCCTACCCTAAGTTTGTGAGTTGGCGGCACATCTAAGTGCAACACTTGAGGGTGGACATGGCAGATCAAAGCTGGACACTATAAGCTTCCTTGACAAGCTGGTACTGGAGAGAAACCCAGCAGCCGGCTCCTCCCAAGCCAGGCAGCTGCAGAAACTCCCGAGTCTGCTCATCTCTCTCCCCCCCTGACCTGACCGAGGAGCCTACGCCATGTAAGGGCCTTATCGTGAGCTCTTGTTAGGCCAACTTAATTCTCACAACCATTCAGCTGGAGGGCGTCAGTGTCCCCATCTCATGGATGACGCTGAGGCTGGGTCCCAGGATGCTTCGCATGTAACCCAAAGTCCCACAACTAGAACCAGGAGGCAGGGAGCGCGCCCACTCACTGGCATAAAAACAAGAGGCATAAAAACAAGGCTGGGCTATTTTCAATCTCTTGTCTTGGCAGGCGCACGGGCAGCTTTCGGGAAGACCCAGGGCTCCCATTCCACTATGCCAAGCCAATGTTGCCCAAGCACAGGCCAACATCCAGGGCAGTCAGAACTGCCAGTATCCTGCCTCACTGTCTGGCGCTGGACTCCAGGGAGAATCTGAACTTGGATGGGAGATACCGGCCATCTGATATGCAACGCACTTCACCACAGAGCGGCTCTCAGGCTGCCTGAGAAGGGTTATCCTGGTTCCACAAAAGCACATGTATTTTTAATTATTCATTCATTCATTCATTCGGTAATAATTTACTGGCACCTGCTATGCTCAGGGCTGGGAAGGCACCGGGGACACGGAGAAAAATTTGACCCAGTTTCTGGCTCTCAGGGCACATCAGCTGAGTGATGACATTGAACAAATGTTCATGATGGAGTAAGACTGATGATCTGGGTGAGGTAACTACAACGTGCTGTGAGGTTGGGGTGGGGCTAACTCTCTGGAGTGGACAGGGAAGGAGGCCCATGGTGAGGTCATTGGCTAGTTGCCTCACACATGGATCACAGACTCATCCTCTCATTTATTGGTTAATTTGCATATTCAATCATCCATTCATAGAGCAGTTAATTTATTCTTGGATTGCACACTCATTGACTCACTCACTAATTCCTTCTTTTATTCTTTCACTCTAATATAGTCATTCCTCCATCCATTTGCTGATTCATTCCCTCATTAGTTCGTTTCATTCAGTGACTTACTCATTAGTTAAATTATTCAACTTTTTCCTCTTTCATTGATTTATTCATTTATTCGTTCACTCATTTTCTGAGTTATTAATCAAGTCATTTGGTTATTCATTGACTCATTCACTGATTGACTCATTCACTGATTGACTCACTGGTTCATTTATTCCCTCATTACTAATTAATTTTCACTTATCCATCAGTTCATTAACTCATTCAGAGATTCACTTATTTATTCACTCATCCATTTGTACACTCATCTTTCACTTACGAGTCATTGAACTACTTTATTCAATCACTCATTCTCTTTTTGAAAACTTTACTTACAGGTCCATTCACTAATTCATCACGCATGTATGCACTTATTAATTTAGTTATTCAACACACTGCCAAATCATTCACCCATTGGTGGGCTACTTCGTATTTTCATTCATTTTTTTATCCTTTGTTGACACAAAGGCTCATTCTTTCACTAACTCACTGCTTCATTCATTCTTTATTTCAATCATTGTTTATTCAGCTACTCATTCTATTAATGTTTATTACAGCGGTTCTCAACCTGTGGGTCACGACCCCTTTGGGGGTCAAATGGCCCTTTCACAGGGGTCGCCTAAGACCATCGGAAAACATATATACAATTACATATGGTTTTTGTGATTAATCACTATGCTTTAATTATGTTCAATTTGTAACAACGAAACTACATCCTGCATATCAGATATTTACATTACGATTCATAACAGTAGCAAAATTACAGTTATAAAGTAGCAACGAAAATAATTTTATGGTCGGGGGTCACCACCACATGAGGAACTGTATTAAAGGGTCGCGGCATGAGGAAGGTTGAGAACCACTGGTTTATTAAATGCGATATACATACACGGCACAATGGGCATGTGAGTGTGGTTCCTGACTTCATGGAGTTAGAGCCTTGTGAGCTTGTTACTGGCTCAGGCATCATCTCTTCCATAAAGTGCCTGGTACTTAAGCTGAAGGCCCACTTCTGTGCCTTTTTAATGATGTAATGGAAACCTATGAACTAACCACTCAAACCAAGAACATTGTTACTTACATAGCACGGTATGCACCTTCCCCAGAGGGATAAGGCGAAGATCTTCATGACTGCAGAATAATTTAATTAGCTGTGGTGCTTCCATCCTATGGGATGTCAAAAGAATGCTGATAAATGAAAAGGCCCAGACTGGGGTTTTAATATGGCAAACATGAAAGAAATTAATCACAAACAATGCTTTATGTCCCAGTCTTATCTCTGGCTCATGAATAGACTGCCATTGTATTCAAGTACTTAGTTATCCATTTAATAATATAACAAACACCCTTCAATAAGCCACCCAACATGAGAACTCTGTCCCTCACCCACAGAACTAAGAGGAGCCCAAATGTTTTACTTAATTAAAAGCTTTATCATCTGCGGGGAACTGGGTTAAATCATAAACATGATTCCTTTGTCCCTCTGAGCTACTAGTAGCTATGAGCTTATTTATTCACCACAGTGATAAAAGCAAGATCTTTGCAAACACTCAGTACAATAGCACTGAGTAATAGTAACGCATGTGCAATTGCTGCTCATTACCAACTACTGGTGTGTCACTTCACTGTGGAATTTAGTGGGCACAACAGCTCTAGGTATATAACAAAACTTATCACTGGCCTTCTTTAATTTAAATAGTGCTTAATCTTTAATTTTATAAATACTTTATATGCAGTAATAAAAGAAACAACCAGTAGACCAAAGACATCCCAGAATTCATATATCTGTCTATATGTGCTGCATTCTGAAATTTAAAGAAACATGAATCCCAGATCCTCAATGATAGATTGGTCCTGACACTTGTTCATTACAAATGCTACAGCTGAACTGGTGTGGCAGGGATTTTATTCAATTCTATTTGTTAAACCCTTCATGTATCAGCTCACTGTAATAATTACCCATGAACTACAAAAGCACAAGAATGGGATAACTGAATATTTTCCTATCAACTGTCTATGGGATCATATCTAAGGGAGCAATAGACTAGATTTCTTTTTGTGTCAGATCTCAGACATCCAGACACATGTTATTCATCATCCTTGACATGCACCGCCAGGCGTTACCAATGGTCCAAGCACATGAATCATTGTCTTCATTCATTCTTTGTCTATTGATCTATTCATTAATTTACAACTTACTAAGAAAGATATACACATGAATCAGAAACTCAGAATAAGAGCCCTGACACCCTTAATGTTCATAAAAACATTTCCCATAGACACTAGATTATGTTTCTTCAATGGATGTTTTAAGAAACATATCAGTGTTTCAAATATGGCTGCCTCAATATAACCATTCCTATTAATCCCATGTTCATTATGGGCCATGTTTAGTCTTCTTTGATTATATTGTCTACTTATTAATAATGCATGAACCAATCCAACCCTCCCAACCAAGACAAGAACTGCACCTATTATTCATGCTGGAAGTGCATGCTCCTAAGATGACCACTGAGTTGGAGGCCATGGCAGAATGTTAAAATCAGCAAAGGAGTGGCCTTTCATTTACTCAATAATTTGACATGTCTTAATTTATAGTACTAGTTGGGTATTTTCTCTTAAAACAAATATTGAATTTGCAATTGATCCAAAACAAGGCACTGATTATTACTTATCAATAGCTCTGTAATCCTTAGCCAAAGGGGTGACACACTTGGTCCCCTTATTATCCATTCCAAATTATATTAATTTCTTTCTTACCACATGTTTTGATAACTGGATTATGCCTCACTCTCTCCATCATTAATTATTTGATATTGACTCTTTTATAATAACATAATCATAATCCATGAACCATAAAATTAGAAGAATGAGAATCTTAAATATCTCTAACATCTATCTATAGGATTTTTTCCAACATGACAATAGACGAGATTTGTATTGTGTTGGACCTCAGAGTTCCAAACACATAGCAGCCATCATCCATGACTCCTATGCCACCAGTGGTCACCTCTGATCCAGACATGGTCCTCAGTTTTTAAATTCATGTCTACATGAATTTTGTTAATTAATCAGGTCACCAGTAATAATAAAATATATACCTAAAGTCACAAACTTGAGAGTAAGATACATTCATAAAACTTCTGTTATAGAATTATTACTCATGGTGATAAATCTCTTTCATTACTCGACTTCCATGTTGCATTTAGGGATTAATCAAAGCAATGCTTCCTATGAACCCCATATTTATGACTGGGCCAGGGCTGTCCTTCAATAATTACATTTCACAATTTTAAAATGACACAGTGAATATTTTTTTAAAAAACATAAAACAATGACACCAAGACAAGAACTGTGACTATTACTCACATTGCTCTCCATGCTCATAATGCACAGATATAACCATGGAGCTCGTGATGCTTAAATCAGCTCGAGTGAGTCCAGACTGCGGGGTACAGAGCAGAGGAAATGATTTTTAAAAGAGGGAGACACTGTCTGCACTGGCCTGTGCACCCCACCTTCCATTCAGTCAGTCATTCAGGGAGGTAGTGATTTGGGTTAACATTTTATCTTCTTGGAAGTAAATAAACAGTATCATTCTTGCCGCTGACGCAGAGCATGGACTATTATTTCACACTGTCTGCAGTATCATCAGCCAAAGAGAAAACGCCCTTTAACCAGTTACTTCCTCAATAATATCAGAGTATTCAATATGTCGGAGCATTTCCTGCGCAAGCACATGCTTTCACAATTGGACAAAGCTTTGCTCCATTCATCTTTATTTTATTTATATATTTATTGATGGATTCTTTTATTTACCCAATTATAATAGTGGAATAAAAATACACAAAGATCAAAAGTTAATAAAGCATCTCTGTGTATTCCTGACATCTGTCAATAAAACCCCCTCAAACAAAACAGAGCAAATGATTTTTTTTAAAATTGAGACGATATCCTTTATGATCCTGCTTTCTGCATTTCATTTATTCAGTCATATAGGTAATTTTTATATTTTCATAATGTATATATTTTTTCTCTTAACAAAAGGACAACAGACAACACTATGGTGGTTACCAAAGGGAAGAGGCTATGGAGGTAGTAAAAGGTAAAGGGGGTCAAATATATGGTGACAGAAGTTTTGACTGTGGGTGGGCGGCACAGAATGCAATATACAGATGATGTATCATAGAATTGTGCACTTGAAACCTATATAATTTTATTGACCAATGTCACCCCAATAAATTAAGTTTTCTAAATGAGGACAGCCTCAAACTTGGAACTGATCTAGTACAATAAACCTGACTTTTATTCATCAGTGTCTATTTATCAGTGTTATTTAAACAAAGAAGTAAAACTTTCAATTCATTGATGTCTTAATAGGCATCAATTATTATTAATATTTTTTGCCTCATCACATAAGTTCTTAGTTGGACAATAATTAACCCTTTTCCTTTTCTTTCTTTATTTTTATTTGTTTAATCGTTCAATCATTGATCTGTTAATAATAATAAATCTAAATCTAGGAATCCAGAATAAGAACATGATCTTCATATATTTCTGTTGATAGGACTCTTAACAGAGGGAATACATTAATGATATTTTGTGTTAAACCTCAGAATTCCAGATTCATCTTATTCATTATTCATAACTCATATGAACCAGTCGTCATCAGTGGTCCATGTGAGGCCACCTTTCTTCCTAAATTTGTATCAATTAAATCATTAATTCACTGACAGTAATAAAATACACATGATTCACAAAAATGCAAGAACAAAATCCCTGAATAACCCTAAAATCTATTTATAGAAATCTTTCCCAATACAGTATATCTTTTGCATTAAGCAACTTTAATGTTGAACATTATCAATTAATCAGCATAATGTGTCCTATTATATTACTCAATGGGCCATAGATAACATTTTGTTATATTTAATACTTTTTAATAATAGTGGGAATTTGATTAAGGTTATTACCTTAAACAAATGACCAAAACCACAACAAGAACCTCGATGACTGCTCACCTTGTCTCTCTGAAAACAGAAGTGACATCTTATTTTGATCATGGAAGAAAGCTTAAGTCAGCTGGGTGCTGTGTTTCTACAGAGTATCAAGCAGAACAGATGATAAAAAGATTGAGACATTGTCTCCAGTGATCTATAATTTCCATAATTATTTTGGTATTTATTCATTTATGGTAAAATTTATTTTTATCTTTATAAAATAAACTTCCCATATTTATCACTGAGTTAGAGTTGCCCTCTTAAATATCTTTTGCACTTTCTAATGAATAATTTAAAAAAACACATTGAAACCAAGAAAAAAACTTGAACTATTACCCACATTAATCTCTGTCCTCCTACTAGAGGCAACCAGAAAGCTGGTGACCATGGATAATGCATACATCAGCCCGAGAGTGTCTGAGGAGGACACAGCAGATAAAAACTAAAATTAAACTAACTGTCATTGATACTTGCTTTCCACACATTTCATTAACTCAGTATTTAGGTATGTATTAATTTTTATTAATATACATTCTTTATCTTAAGAAAAGTAAAAACTCAATCTTGAGATTGACCCAGAAGAATAAAATAGACTTCCTTATCAGTATCTATATAATCCTTAGTCACTGAGGTGACCGATTGAGCCATTAATTTCTTAATGGGAATCAATGTTTTCAATGGCATTACTACCTTTTACCTCACTACAAAACCTTCATAATTGAACAATACTTCACCTCATTCTTTATGTGTATTTATATTTAATAGTTTTATCACTATTCCATGAATAAATACACATCTATCTCTGTGAAATCAATACACTAATATGATCTCTATATTCCTGACATCTCTCTATAGAAACCATTTCAACAGAAGTAACAGACTATGTTCTAGATCTCAGAGTCTCAGACATGTATTTTCATCGTCATGACTCCTACGCCGCCAAGGATCATTATTGATCCATGACTTGGTCTATTTTTCATCATCTGTTACTACATTTGTATCGATAAAATGATTAATTCATTCATAATAATAAAAACAATTCATGGATTATAAAAACTTAAGAATGAGGTCATTTTACACAATCATTTCCCACATAGACTATACTTCATTCATTAATGGGCTCCAATCTTGCACATTATCAACATAAAGTTTCATGTCATACTTAACAATGAGACATGGCTAACTTTTTATGAATTTAATGTCTTTAAATGATACTGTAAATATCCTTAAACAAACGACCCACTCCATGATAACATGACAGTTAGGTACCTTGACCGCTTCTCATACACAGAGGGAACATGACAGACAGCAGAAGCCAAAATCAGTTCCAGGGTCCATTCGGGAGACAAATGGCCAAAGAAACATTATACAAATGTTGAGACTTTCTCTCCATGGATTCAGAGTTTCCACTATTTATTTGCATAGTTATTTAAGCATTTATTAATGTCTGGTCATATTTATTTATTTTTCTCTCAATAAATCAAATGTCAGAGTTGAAACTGACTCCATCGGTAACCAACTATGATTTATCACTGTTTTAGGACATATACACGGGGTGGTATTATTTTCCATCCCACTATATATTTTTAACAATGATGAGGGTTTCACCCTTTTCATATGTATTGACTATATATTTGTTTGTTTACGTTGCCATTTCTAATGAAATTTTTAAATATTCATGTATACAAAGACCAAGAGCATGATCCTTTCGATACCTAGCCTCTCCCTATGGGATCACCTCAAATGGGGGGAAAAGGACTCCTACGCACACTAATCATCATTTATCTAGGGTTGAGCCTCATTGTCTTCATTCATGTCTACACATATTTATTGAATAAATCATCAATTGACTACGAATAACAAAATAAAGACCTTAAGGAGTCACAAAAACTTGAAACAAGAGTCTTAAATATGTCTAACATGTGTCTTTAAATTACTTTCCATAAACAATATATATGTTTCATTAATGACCTCAAAGGTTAATTAATTTCCTACAAACGTTAACATAATACTTCATATTAGCAACATTATTCTTTTTTAGCATGTTTGGCAATCAGAGATCTTATTTCAGACTTTTTAATAATGTGGTGAAAACCTTTTTTAAAAAACAACAAAACCAAGAAAAGAACTATGGTACTCACATTGTGCTCCGCGATTTTAATGCATAGATTCAGCCTCAAAGTCTGTGATCATGGCAGCACGCTTAAATCACCCACATGCAAGGATTTTAAGGAGTACAAGAGAAAACAATAATTTATAACGTTGAGATATTAATTCATTAATTCTAGAATGTCACCTTTTTATTAGTCAGCCATTTAGTCAGTAAGTAGTGAATTAAGATAATGTATAAGTAAATGAACAATATCAATGTTGCAAGGGACAGATAAATATGAATATTGACTATTACTTATCAATAACTATATCATACTTAGTCAAAGAATAACACTTTGTACCTATATACTAAGAGATATTTGTTTCCAATACATTTATTAATAGCTTTTTATCTAAACACATATTTTTAAAATTGGACAAAGTTTCACCATCTTCATATTTATATTTATAGGGTATTCCCCCCCAAAAAAATGTATACACGTACTTTGAATAATTATAAAGGCAGTGTTTTTAAGAATATGTACAATTTTCAAAATTGAGCTATCAGCTATTAAAGTGTGTATACATTTTGGGGGGACACCCTGTATTTATTTATTTATTTATTATTTCTTTGAATGCCCCCTTCCCTCTGAGATTCATCAGTCTGTTCCATCTTTCCATGTCACTAGTTCTATTTTCCTGGTCAGTTTATTTTGCTCATTCTATTTCACATATAAGTGATTTCCTGTGATATTGTCTTTCTCTGATTCACTTATTTTGCTTAGCATAATAATCTCCAGGTCACTCCACAGCATCTCGAAGGGTAATAGATCCTTCATTTCTACAGCTGCATAGCATTCCATTGAGTAAATGTACCATGGGTTATTTATCCACTCATCTACTGATGGGCACTAGGCTGTTTCCAGATCTCAGCTATTGTAAATAACACTGCTATGCACATAGGGGTGCACATATTCTTTAATTACATTTAACATGTTGAATAATACAGTGAATACCATAAAACAAGCCATTCAATCTAAAATATTGATATTACTTACGTGGGTCTCCATGCTCCTACAACAGAGATGCACCCAGAACATTCAGGACCAGGGAAGATGCCTAAGACAGGTCGCGTGCGTCCATTCTGAGGCATAAAGAGCAAAGCAGGTGATAATAAAATGAGGCATGCTTTGCAGGAAGAGAAAGACCGCACTGCTTCCGAGGTGGACCTCAGCGTCTCAGACATGCATTATTTGTCATGGTGACTCAGAACGCCGGCAGGTATCATCATTGATCCAGAAGACCATGTTGTCTTCATTCATTTCTATGTTGTTTCTTGATTAATTCATGAATTCACTAATTATAACTTAAAAACCAACAAGGCCTCAGAATATAACTAGACATTCTTAGAATTTAACTGGAATCATTCTCACAACAAGATATCATTGTTGATTATTCTGTTTTGCACATATGAATTAATCAAAAAACTATTAATGTTGCAATTATTCACAACAAATACCAGAAAAGACAAGAACTTTCATTATTACTCACATTGGTCTCCATGCTCCAAAACACAGAGATGCAATCCTATGGCTCATGGTGAAGGAAAAACCCCTAAAGCAGGTCGAACTTGTCCATTCTAAGGGATAAAAGGCTGAACAGATGATAAAAAAAGTGAGAAAATCTCCCCATTGATTGTTGCTCTTCACCTTTGAGTTCGCAAGGCACTTAGGCAGTCACCAATTTGGTAAATTCTTTTCTCTCTTAAGAAAACAAACAACATTGATCTTGCCACTGACCTAGAATCTGAACACTGTGAATCATACTATTCAAGTCATCCTTAGCCATACAGGTAGCAGTCATGTACCATTTACTTCTAATTAAACTTCAGGGTTTTCATAATGTATCAATAGTCATTTGTGGCGTAATCACGTATTTTTACAATAAGTTGTTATAAAATATCACTACATTCATCTTTACTTATAATTTGTTTACAGATTCTCTCATTTATACAATTATAATAGGATGTAAATGTATGAACATTTAGGCCAAACTAGGTTTCTTTTATGATAGACCTCAGAGTTGCAGACATGTAGTCATCTCTGTGACTCGTTTGCCACCAGTCGTCATTACTGATCCTATTGGAACCCATTTTCTTCCTTTTTAATTGTTTATTGATTAAATCATTAATTCACTAATATTAATATCTAAACACTATGACTCACCCAAACCCAAGAAGAGTTATTATACCCCTAACCTGTACATATATTATTTTCATATCAGTTTCCCTCTTTGATTAATTATCCTGCTTTTCATACATGGATTAATCAATATAATGGCTCATATAGCTCATATTTATCACTGAAATACATTCCATCTTTATTTATACTTTATAATTTTTAATACTGCAGTGAATTACCTTATAACGAAGAAAATGACACTTTGACTATGATCACATTAATCTCCATCCTCCTATTATGTAGAGGCAAGCAGGGAAGACACTGAAGCAGTCCTAACTATCCCTAGATATTTAATGTAAGACCTAATGGCCATTGATCCCTGCTGACCACGTTTCATAGACTCAGGGTTTAGATATTTCTTCTTTTATCTTAATGTATATACTGGGTGTCCCAAAAAACGTATACATACTTTAACAGCTGATAGCTCAATTTTGAAAATGAAATGCATTTTAATAAACATTGCCTTTATAAATTCTTCAAAGTGTGTGTACACATTTTTTGGGACACCCTGTATATTTATCCTAACATGATGAAAAACTCAGTCTTGACACTGACCCAGAACAATATAATAGACTCATACTAATCAATGTCTATATGATTCTTAACCAAAGATGAAATTCACAGCTACATTGTTTTCTTAATTAATATGTCCTTTCAATTTTGATAATATCCTTTGCCTGACCATATACATTCATGGTTATGTATTTCTTCATCCTAATTCTTTAAGTAGTTAACTATGTGTTTAATATTTCTATCAGTCTATTAATAAAATATCTACTGGTATATCAATGAAATCAGTACAAAAACATGGCCTGTGTATTGATTTGTATTGATCCTGACATCTATCTATCAGAGTTCCAGACACATATTCATCATGTATGACTCAGATGCCACCAGTAGTCATCATTGATCTAATTAAGTACTAATTATAATTTTAAAACTTGATGATTCACAAAACCAAGAAGACAATGATATCCCTATTATGTACCTAGAATTATTCTCATATCAATATACCTCCTTCATAAATAATCCCAAATTTCATTGGAGCATTAATCAATATACTGTTTCCTGTTAATTCAATATTTATCAATGGATGACAGTTGGATTACTTTGATTCCCTATGGCACTTTTTAGAAATATACTAAATACCCTAAAAAAAAATCATTAAAACCCAGACAGGAAGTTTGACTATTTATTACTCATGCTGCTCTCTGTGCTGCTCACATGCAGATGGTAGCATGGAGCTGCCCCCATGGAATGAGACTTAATTAGCTCGAATGGTCCATTCTGAGAGATTCTAAGCACAGTCGAACGGGAGAAAATTAAAGTATTACATAGGTATTTAAAATTTCTGTGTATATATTATCTTCCCTTAACAAAAGGAACCATCTCAAACTTGAGACTAACCCAAAACAACAGATTCACCCAATTATTTTCTTTTTTCTTAAATTTATTGGGGTGACATTGGTTAATAAGTTTATGTAAGTTTCAAGTGTCAATTCTATGATATATCATCTGTATATTGTATTATGTGCCCACCACCCAAAGTAAAATTATCTTCCGTCACCATATATTTGACCCCCATTAGCATTTACTACCCTCCCAACCCCCCCCCCCCCGGTGGCTGTGAGTTTTTGTTTGTTTTTCTTGTTTGTTGATTTACTTTCAGTATTTCTTAATGAACACAATGTTTTAATTAAAATATTATTTCTTTACTTACCACATATGTTCAAAGTCGCACAATGCTTCACCCTTTTTTCTTTAGCTATTATTCACATTTCTTTACTGGTTCTATAGATCCATTAATAATAAAAAGTATAAATCTATGAAGCCAAAATAAGAACATGATCTTTGTATATTCTTAACATCTGTCTACAGTATCGAATATAACAGAGACAATTCACTAGGCATTGTGTTGGACCTGAGTTTCAGACACATATTTTCAAATTGTTATCACTATCATGGTCCATCGGAAGTCCACTTTTTCTTCATTCATTTCTATTTTTGTGTTGATTAATTCATTAATTCACTGATAATGAAAATACATTATTCACAAAAACTTAACAAGATACTTAAATATCCTTAATTTCTACCTGAAGAATCATTATCAACTTAGGTTTATGTCATTCATTAATCAATCTCAATGTTACATGTTATTAATTAATCAAGATAATGTTTTCTATTAGATTTATTATTGGGCAATAGGTTCCTTTCTGATAATATTACTATTGGTAATACTGTAAATATCCTTAAACAATGACCCAAACCAAAACAAGACCTTAGACTTTTACTCACCTTAGTATCTTTCCTAGATAAAGGCAACATAACAATCTTGATCATGGCACAGTAGACAAAATTAACTTGATCACCTCCTTTGAAAAGTACCAAGCAGAGAGTTGATAAAATCATTGGGACTTTCTCTTCATTGATTCATAGTTTTCAACAGTCATTTAGGCATTTATTAATTTATGATAATACTTATTTTTATTTTTAACTTAATAAACTTTAAACCTACAACTGACTCAGGCAATAACTGACTCTTCCATTTCATTGTTTTTATGAACCTTAGAGTTGCAACACACTTGGTCCAATTATTATTCATTCTAATGCATATTAATTTTCATTTACCTTGATATTTATCAGAGAATAATGCTTCACCCATCTTTATTCATTTATATACTTGTTAATTATTCTGCCATTGATACTTTGTTAATATTATTAAAATCATGACCCTGCAGACCAACACAAATGTATATGCTTCAAATCTGTCTACAGCAGGGGTGGGGACTATGTAAGACCTGCGAAGTCATTTGGTCTGGCCCTGCCAAGGCAACCGCAGGTGGGACCCGAAATTCAATAAATCTAGGAGCTTTTTTCATAGCAACATAAATTTATATTAAGTGAATTATATTCAGCAATTGATGTTATAAATATCCACATGGCCCTTGGCAGGAAAAAGCTTCCACACGCTCGTCTGGAGGATCCACTGACACATGGGGAGAGGACTAGTACCTTTCGTGTGGACACATAGTATTCATTGTCCGCCAGCCATCATGGATCCATGGCTGTCCTTCTTTCTTTTCATTCTAATAAACATGTGTTTATTAGTTCATTATAAAAAATAAACATTAATCTTAAAAACAAGAATAAGATCCTTTGACATCCCTATCATCTATCTGTAGAATCATTTCCACGTTGACTAGATATCTTTTATTAGCTAACCTTAGTATTACATGTATGGATTAGTCAATTAAATGTTTCCTATCAATTCGATATTTAACATGGCCTATTTCACCTTCTGTGATCATAATTAATACTTTTGAACAATACAGTGAATACCCTTAACGAAGCCATTCCCACGAAGACAATAACTTTAATTATCACTCACATGGTCTCCACGGAGGAATGCTACAATCAGCGGGAGTGCGTCATTCTGAGGAGTCGGGAACAGAGCAGATAGCAAAAACAGACTTCCTTCCATTGATCTTTTATGGAAGCATTTAGAAATTTGTTATTAAGAACATTTACCTCATTGTCTCTTGTGAAAACAAACTACTTTGAACTTCCCACTGACAAAGACCATAAACATAGTCTATAATTTACCCTGTCTACATCACCCTTAGCCAAAGAGGTTATAGTCATGTACCGTTTATTTCTCTTTGGACTTCACTATTTCAAATTATATTAATAGAATTTATTGCCTCTCCATATATGTTTTAAGTTGGACAACACAACTACCATTCAGCTTTATTTTTATATATTTCTTCATTGATAAGTCATTGATCCAATTATAATAAAGAATGAAAATGCATATAGAGAAATACCCCATTTTCAGACACATATTATTCATTATCCGTGACTCATATGCCAGCAGGTATCATCATTGATCCAGAAGACCACTTTGTCTTCATTCATTTCTACACTGTTTATTGATTAATTCATTAATTCACTAATTAAAATTTTAAATCCCCATGACAATCAAAAGCTTAACAAGATCTTAAGATCCCTAATATGCATGAAGAATCATCCCTACATTAATATCTGTCATTATCTTGTTTTCTTATGTGCTTTTAATCAAGATAATGCTTCCTATTAATCCCATGATTGTTACTAGAATACAGTTCACCTTCTTTGATTGGATTTCACACTTTGTATTACTACAGTGAAGATACTTAGACAAAGCAGCAAAACCAAGACAAGAACTTTCATTATAACTCACATTGGTCAGCTCCAGGGCTCTGGATGGATCAAGAAAGAACCCGTAACTTTGTCCAGTGTGTCTGTCCTGAGGAGCAGAGAGCAGAGCAGATGATACAACTAATTGAGACATTCTCTCCATTGATCCTCGCTTTTCACATTTTGTTTATTCAGCAGTTTGGGCAATGATTAATTTGGGATCTATTTTTCCCTTAAGAAAAGAACAATGTTGATCTTGCAAATTGATCCAGCATCTGAACAATGTCTATGACTTATAATGTTTGTCATCTTTATACAGGTAGTAGTCATGAAGCATTTATTTCTAAAGGAACTTTAGGATTTTCATAATATAGCAATAGTATTTCTTACATAAACACGTATTTTTATAATTGATCAATGCTTCATTACATTCATCTTTATTTATAAACTTATAGATTCTCCCATTTATTTAATTAAAATAATAGAATAAAAATGAATGAAGACTAACAGCAAAAGCAAGATCCTTGTTTATTCCTGACATCTATCTATAGGACCCCTTTAAACAATAGGGATGGACTATAGTGCTTTTGTGTTGGGCCTTAGAGATCAACACATACTAGTATTCATCATATATATCTCATATAGCCACATGTGCTCATCACCAATCCAATCTTGTCTCTCCTTTGCTTCAGTCATTTCTCTAGGTTCATTGGTTATATCATTAATTTACTACTATTAATTTCTAAACACTGATAAACAAAACCCAAAAGCCTTTATATCCCTATTTTATACATTGGTTATTCTAACATCAATGTGTCACTTTCATTAATTATCCTCAGTTTTCCACTGGAATAATCAATATAATGTTTCATATATCCCATATTTATCACTAAGATGCATTTGCCTTCTTTAATTATATTTCAGACTTTCTAATAAAACAGTGAATTAACTTTTTAAAAAACACAGCAACTAAGAAAAGAATTTTTACTGTTACTCACATTACATTTCGTCTTCTTATAGAGAGACAACCACGCAGCTCATGACCATGGAAGACGCTCTCCTCAGCTTGAGCGTTTCCACTCACAGGAGTACAGAGTAGAAGGTGATAAAATAGAATAAAGAGAGAAAGAGCCCATCATCACTGATGCTTTCTTTCCATATTTCATCAATTCACTATTGATTTATTTTTCTTTTGATATATATACATATATCTTACAAAAGGAAAAACTCAATCTTTAAGACCAAGAACAATACAATGAATTCTTCCTTATAAGGGTATTTATGACTCAGTCAAAGAGGTGAGACCTCTATCCATTTATCCCTTAAGAGGCATCACCACACACTAAAAGTTAGATCAGGCCTCACCTTCTTATTTTTTAAATACTTATTTATATTTGTTGAATGGTTCCACCAATATACCAGTAGCATTAATAATAAATCTACATCTAGGAAATTCTCACAAGAATATGATCACTGTATATTTTTGACATCTCTTTATGGAAGCAATTCCAACTAAAAGAATAGATTTATGTTCCATGTTGGACCTCAGTTTCAGACCTATAATATTCATCATCCAAGACTTGTACTTGACCAATTACAATCATTGGTACAGGTTACTTCCTTATTGTATTCATTAATGCTTTTACTGATTAATTTGTTAACTAAAAACAAAGATCACAAAAAGTAAAAAAAAAAAAAAAAAAACTTCCACTGACTATAAATCTTTCATTAATTAACTTAATATAATGCTTGATAGGCCATGGTTATAATTTTTATTTTATATGACATTTTTAATAATGCAGTGAAAACCTTTTTAAACAAACACACAAAACCAAGAAAAGTACTTTGACTATTACTCACATTGGTCCCCATGCTTTTAACACTGAGATGGAACCATAGACCTTCTGATCATGAAATGCTGAAATCATCTTAGATGTGAACAAGCTAAGTTCAAGGCAGAACAGATAATTAAAAAAAAATTGAGATACTGTGTCATTAGTCATTGCATTTCACCTTTCATTGAGTCACTCCTTCATGTAATCTACATTAGAACAATATATATTTTAATTTCCCATTAGTCCATGAACAATATTGATCTGACCTCTGACAGATATGAATATTAACTACCACTTATCAATACCTGTATCATCCTTAGTCAAAGAATAATGACCTAATACCATATAATCCCTTACCAAAATCAGTGTTTTAAATACACATTAAAATATACCTTGACTAAACACCTATTTTTATAATTTGACAATATTTTGCCACCTCCATCTTTATTTATTTATGTTTGCTTATTATTATTTCATAGATTCAATTATATAGACAGAAAATGCATAAACATAAAAATCAAAAACAAGACCTTCATATATTCCTGACAACTTTCTAGGGGATCCCTTCCAACAACGGGCATGGACTACATTTCATGTTGGACCTCAGAGTTCAACATGTAGTCATCATGTAGTCATCATATAGGACTCATATGCCACCAGTAGTCATCACTGATCCAGTATCACCCCTATTTGTTTCATTCATTTCTACACTGTTTATTGACTAATTCATAATTCGCTAATAATTTTAAAACCCTAATTACACACACATACAAAATAAACCCAGGAAGAGTCATGATATCCCTAACCTATAAATGGAATCTAATATCTTTTAAAAATTATATTGTTTTGCACTTATGCATTAATCAATTTAATATTTCATAAAATACAATATTTATTACTGAGCTATACCTGGCCTTCTGAAATCCTATGTAAAACTTTTTAATGATATACTGAAAAAATCAATCGCGAAACTCAAGATGAGAACTGTGGCTCTTACTCACATCGGTCCGTGTGCTTTTCACAGAGGTGTAATCATATAGCTCGGCAGCGAAGAACAGTGCTTAGCCCGCGAACATGTGCCCTTTCTGAAAACCCTAAAGCACAATCGAAGATAAATGAATAAATAAGCCTTAGTCCTTACTGATTCTTGCTTTCCACATTTCACATTTGCAGTTACTTAAGAAGATTTGACGGTGGGTGGTGGCACACAATGCAATGTATAGATGATGCGTTATAGAATTGTACGCTTGAAACCTATATAATTTTATTAGCCAATGGAATCCCAAAAATATAATAAAAATATTTTAAACATTAAAAATTTCATGCTTTATAATGTAGATATTTGCACCTCACAGTTCCAGATTATTCAGTGTCCATAACTCCTCTGCCACAGGCATTATCATTGGTCCATAGAGGCCAACTTTCTCCTCACTAATTTCTACATTTGTGTTGATTAAATCATTGATTCACTGACAATAATAAAATACATGCATGATAAACAAAAACTGAAAAACCAACAACTCTGAGCATATCTAACTATTGTCTACAGAATAACTGCCAACATAGATTTTATCTTTCTCATTAATCAATCTCAATGTTACATAATTACAATTTATCAATGTCATGTTTCATATCATATTTAGCATGGGGCAATAAATTAATTTTTATTAAATGTATTAATTTTTTGTTGAGAATATTACAGGTGTCCCTCATTTTACTCCTTTGCCCCTCTCCACCTGGCTCCTGCCCCACCCCAGGCCTCTACCACACTATTGTCTTTGACCATGGGGTATGCATGGGTTCTTGTTAATCTCTTCCCACCCACCCCGTCCCTGTGTGATTTGTCAGTCTGTTTCATGCTTCCATGTCTCTGGACCTATTTTGTTCATCAATTTGTTTTTTTCATTAGATTTCACAGATAAATGAGATCATGTGATACTTACATTTCTATCACTGGTTTCTTTAACTTAGCATAATAATCTCCAGGTCCCTCCATGCTGTCTCAAAGGGTGAGGGATCCTTCTTTTTCACAGCTGTATAGTATTCCATGGTGTAAATGTCCCACAACTCTTTTATCTACCCCTCTACTGAGGGGCACTTCAGCTGCCTCCAGATCTGAGCAATGGTAAATAATGCTGCTATTACTAAATGTTAATAATACCATGAATAATTCCCTTAAACAATTAACCCACCAAGACAAAATCTCTGATTACTACTCACCTTGATCTCTCGCCTAAGGTGGCGGCAACAAGGCAAACATCACCAGGGCGGAGCTGAAATCAGCTGGAGCATCTGTTCTGAAGAGTCCAAACAGAGGAGACAAAAGGTTCAGACTTCTTTTCATAGCTCCTTCCTGCACATCTTTCATATGGCCAGTCATTTAGGCATTCATGATTGGGAGTATATTTATGTTATTGGCCTTCAGGAAAACTATTGTGAACTTCCCACTGACACAGAATATAAACACTGTCTGTATTTTACTCGCTAGAGCAGTGATGGTGAACCTATGACACGCGTGTCAGAGGTGACACACGAACTCATTTTTTTGGTTGATTTTTCTTTGTTAAATGGCATTTAAATAGATAAAATAAATATCAAAAATATAAGTCTTTGTTTTACTATGGTTGCAAATATCAAAAAATTTCTACATGTGACACGGCCCCAGAATTAAGTTAGGGTTTTTCAAAATGCTGGCACGCCGAGCTCAGAAGGTTCGCCATCGCTGCTCTATAGCATCCCAAGCCAAAGAGGTTACAGAGTCATGGACCATTTGTTTCTCTTTGGACTTTCACTGTTTCCAATTATGTTAATAGAATTTATTGCCTACTCACATGTTTTAAATTGGACAATGCAACTACCATATATATATATGATCATTGATAAATCATTGGTCCAATTATAATTAAGAATGAAAATGCAGACAGAGAAAGAACCCATTCCTTCTGTGTTGGATCTCAGAGTTGGAGACATATTATTCATCATCCGTGACTCATACTCTGGCAGTTAGCATCATTGATCCAAAAAAGGATGCTTTCTCTTTATTCATTTCTATATAGTTTATTGATTAATTCATTAATTCCCTAAATAAAAAATTAAAGGTCTATTATTAACAAGAACTCAAAAGGGTCTTGATAGCCCTAATTGTGCCTGAAACCATCATCACATCTGTCATATTTATTAACATTTTTCATATATGAATTATTTAATATAATGCTGCCTATTAATCCCATTTTGGCCACGAGGATGCAATTGGCCATCTTGAGTATGTCATGCTTTTATTAATACAGACCACCCAAACCAAAATAAGAACTTTCACTATGACTCACATTGGTCTCCAGGCTCCTAAAGCAGAGGTGCAATTCTATGGCTCATGGTCAAGGAATAACCTTACAGCAGACCCAGTGCACTTGTCCTGAGGAGTATGAAGCAGAGCAGATGATATAAATGGTTGAGACCTTCTGTTCATTGAAATTTGCTTTTCACCTCTCACATGGTCAGTCATTTGAGCAATCATTGATTTGGTATATACTTTTTCTCCTAAGAAAACAAATTTTAATTGGACCACTAACCCAGACTATGAGCATTTTCTATGATTTATCCTTTAACTATACAGGTAACAGTAATGTGTCATTTGTTTCTAACTGAACTTCATGATTTGCATAATATATGAATACAATTTCCTGCCTCCTTACATATTTTTATAATTGGACACTACTTCATTGATCTGTTTTTAATGTTTATTTATAGATTCTATAATTTATCCAATTATAATAATAGATGAGAATACATGAACAATAAGACCGGAAACAAGATCTTAGGATCTTCCTGTCAACTGTCTAGAAGATTCCTGGGAGATGGGAATGGACTATAGTAAGTTTCAATTGGAACTCAGAGTTCCAGACATGTATTTGCCCCATGTAACTCCTAGGCCAACAGTAGCCATCATCAATTCACTATTCTCTCTCATTTCCTCATTATATTTGTATATTGATGAAATGTTAGTCCAATAATAATAATTCTGAAAGCCTATTATTCACTAAAAACAAGATGAGCCCTCGTATCTTTCAACTTAATATACATTTACTCTCACAGCAATATATCTCTTTATTATCACCTGTTCCCATGATGCATTACTGGATATAATTGTTCTTATAGTCCATATTTAACAGATACAGTTGCCTTCTTTACTGATACTTCACACTTAATAATACAGGGAATAAACTTAAAGCAACAACAACCACACTGAAACCGAGAAAATAATTTCATCCCTAACTCACATTAATCCTCAAGCTCCTACGCTAAAGTGGGAACCAACGGGTCTGTGACTGAGAAAGGTGCATACATCATCTAGCGTGTCTGCGTTCTGAAGAGGACAGAGAAGGGAAGATGGTAACGGAAAACCGAGGCCAAGCCTTGCTTTCTGAGTTTCATTGACTCAGTATTAAGGTACTTATATTTTAATGTATAATTTTTATCTTAACAAAGGAAAGTGGGTAAGATAATAAATCGTAAAAGTTTTCTTCCCCAAAAAACAGATTTTATAACTATATATGGTAACCAAGGCTAAAGTAAACTTCATTGTGATCATCATTAGGCAATATATAAATATACTGACCCTTGCCACCTGGTGTGATCATGGAAGAACCCTGAAATCAGCTCGAGTGTGTCCACTCTATGCAGTACAGAGCAGAGCAGAAGATAAAAAGTTTTCAAATTTACCTCCACTGATCCTTGTGTTCTACATTCTATTTATTCACTTAGACATTGATTAATTTTTCATATTGTAACATATTTTCTCTGAAGAACAGATAATTTTAAAATTGAGACTGATCAAGAGCAAAATAATATTGACTCTTACTCATCACTGTCTATATGGTTCTTAGGCAAAAGGCATATGCTACTTCCACTTATGGCTTCACAAGTATGATTGTCATTTTATTGCCTCATGACATATATTCCGAGCTGGACAATGTCTCTCACTCTTTTCTCTTTAGTTGTTTATTACATTCTTAATGGTTTGACTATTGATTCATTAATAATAATAAATCTAAATCTATGAACTCAAAATGAGAATATAATTTTTGTATATTCCTAACATCAACCTATGGGGTCATTTACAAGAGAAGATAAACCAAATTCTGTTTCTTGTGAACACAAGAGTTACAGACACCTCACACTCACCATATATGACTCTACGTGACCAGTCATCATAATTGATCCATTTCTGGGTCTCTTTTCCTTCATTGGTTTCTCTATATGTGATTATTAAAGCACTAATTCATTGTTAATAAAATAAATACATGATTCATAAAATCACAAGAAAAAGATCCTTGATTAAACCTAGCTCTGTACTACATACATAGGTTATATCTTTTACATTAATTGACTTCAATGTTGCACATTATCAATGAATCAACATATTTTATATCATATTTGTACTTGATTCACACTTACGTTTTTTATTATATTTATTACTTTATAATAATACTATGAATACTTTTTTAATAAATCATCCAAGCAAGGTAAAATCTTCACCTACTTTTCACCTTGGTCTCTTCTCTACCATCATCTCAATCGGAGCAGATGCTGAAATCAGTTTGGTGCATTCATTCTGAAATGTACAAGCAGACAAAAGAATAAAAGATACTATTTTTATAATTTAATGTAAACATACTCATTAAAATGTAAAGATACTACCTATAGAAATATAATTAGAATGAATGTATATCAGATTAGTATAGAAAATAGTTAAATTAGGAGACAAACATAACTAATCAAATATAAACCAAGAAGGGAGTGTAACAAACAGAAAAAAACAATAAAGAAGCACAAAAGTCAACTCAGAAATACATAAATAGTACATACAAATATATTGGTCATCACAAAAATGTAAAACAATACATTAGACAGATATGTCATAAATAATCAGAATATATTTTTAAAATTCAACTATATGTTTACCCAAAAAGAAGATCAAGACATTTTCTCCATTGTGCCATATTTTCCACTATTCATTTACAGTCATTTGAGGGTTTATTAATTAATGGTGATATTTATTTATTTTTCTCTTAATAAAATGAACTTCAAGCTTAATACCTGACTCAGGGCAATAATTGTTACCTGTCAGTGTGGATGCCATCCTTCGGCAAATACATAATACCCTTGGCCCTTTTTTAACCTTTCCCATTTATATTGATATTCATTTTTTCATTATTACATATTTTATTCATGAACAAAGCTTCATGCTCCTCATCTTTATTCATTTATACATTTGTCTATTTATGCTGCCATTAAATCTTTAATAATAATATTTTTAAAATTCATGAACTCAAAGACCAAGAACGAGATCCTTTTATATTCCTGACATCTGTCCACAGGTTCCTGTCATAAAAGGAAAACGTGCCGGACTCCATTTGTGTTGGATGTCAGACTTCCAGATACCTATTGAGCTCATATGCCCCACAATGCACCAGTGATCATTGTTGGTCCAGGGGTGGCCTTCATTCTGTATTGTCATCTACATAAATCTCAAAAAAACAAGAGTGAGATTTTTAGGTATCTCTAACATCCAGTTTTACAATCACTTCCACTAAGACCAGACTCTTATCATTAACTGAGCTCAGTGTTTCATATATGGATTAATCAACACAATGTTTCATGGTAATATGATATTTAACAGTGACATCTCTAATCTTCTTTGATTAATAGAGGCACAGTGCCTGAAATGTGTGCACGGGGGCGGGGAGAAGGGGGTACCTCAGCCCGGCCTGCATCCTCTTGCATTCCGGAACCCCTTGGGGGATGTCATGGACCTCTTGTGGGGAGCTGGTAGACATCCCTCTCACAGTCCGGGACCACCTCATGCCTTACCACCCCCCTGCTCACTACTCCTTACCACTCGTCTCGCTGCTCCTTCATGCAGCCGTGGAGGTGGGAGAGGCTCCTGCCAGGCCACTGCACAAGCCAGCCTTGAGCCCGGCTTTCGGCTGCGCTGCACTCTTCTGTGCGAGCCTACTGACCACCAGGGGGCTTCTGGGCGGAGTGTCTGCCCCATGGTGGTCAGTGCGCATCACAGCGACCCGTCCTTCTGGTCCTTCCGCTGTAAAGGTCACTTATCCTTTTAGTATATAGATAGTAACACTTTTTAATAATACAGGGAAAATCTTAAAAAATAAAACACAGTTAAAGCAAAAAGAACATTGGCTATTACTCACAGTGGCCTCCATGCTCCTAATACAGACGCAGTCCCAGAGCGCTTTCCCAGGGAAGATGTTGACATCAGATGCAGTGCATCCATTCTATGGAGTACAATGCACAACAGAACCAAAGCAGCAATTGAGACATTATCTCCACTGGTCCCAATTCCACCATTATTTAGTCAGCCATGTACATAATTGGTAATTGGTGATTGTGTCTATTTTACTTGCTCTTAAGTGACTAAACAATACCAATGTGGACACTGACAGACTATGAACATTGGTTGTTGCTCATTACTATCTATATCAAATTTAGCAAAAATAAACAGCATCCTTATACTGTTTATTTTCATTGATCTTCAGTGTTCACACTATATATGAATAGTATTTCTTATCAGACCACATATTGGTATAATTGGAAAATGTTTTACCCCATCATTTATTTGTAATATATTTATTGGTATAGTCACTGATTCAATTATATGTATAAAATACAAATGAGTGAAAAACAAAATAGGACCCTGTATATCCTGGTATTTCAGCCACATGAAATGGATTCATTTTTTGTTGGACCTCAGAGTTCCAGTGGTATTCGTTGCATATGACTTATATGCCAGGAGTCATCATCATTGGATTTGCTCTTTTTACCAACTGTCATCTATGTTTCTTATTTGTTAAATTCACTAATATAAAAATAAACATAAATGAAGAAAAATCACAAATAATATCCTGGAATACCTCTGACATCCATTTTTTATTTATTTTTATTGTTGAGAGTACTACAGGTGTCTCCCATGTTGTCCCCACTGCCCCCCTCCACCATCCACCTATTGAATCATTTCCACTGAAACCAAACTCTTCCATTAACTGAACTCAGTGTTTCATATGTAAATTAGTCATCATATGGTTTCATATAAATAACATGTGATATTGACATGATTGGGCTTCTTTGATTATATTTAATACTTTTAATAATAAAAAAGAATTTTTATAAAACACCCAATCCAATCCAAGCACACTGACCATTACTCACGTGACTCCATGCTCCTCACACACCGATGCAACCACAGAGCTCTGACCATGGAAGATGCTGCAATCAGCCCAAATGTGTCCTTCCTGAGAAGTATAGAACAGAGCAATGATAAAAAATTTAGTGATTTAGTCACTCATTAATCTAGAGTACATTTATTTCAATTTCTACTAAGGAAATAAACAGCTTAGAACTTGTCCCTCACCTAGGAAATGAACATTGACTAGCACTTAACAGTCCAAATTCATTAATAGTACTCTTTGCCTCACAATGTATTTTTATAATTGGACAAACTTCATTCATGTTTATTTATATATTTTTTATTGATTATTACATTTATCCAATTATAATAATAGAATAAAATAAACCCTAAGACCAAAACCGTCCTTGCATATTCCTAAGTTCTGTCTATGGGATCCTTTCAAACGAAGAGAAGGCACTGGTTGCTCTGCGCTGGACCTCAGAGTTTCAGACACATTGAAATTTATCATCCTCTCCTCAAATGCCACTGGTTCTCATCACAGGTCCAGGACTAGCACACATTCCCTTTGTTCATTTCCAACTTGTTTATTAATTCATTCATTCACACTCTCACCCAAACCAACACAAGAACTTTATGATCACTCACAATGGGGTGCATGCTCCTGCAATACAGAGGCGAACAGCGGGCGGGAGGCCAGGGAAGACACTGACGTCATCTCGAGTGGGTCCATTCTGAGGAGCACAGAGCAGCGCAGTCAATAAAAAAAAGAATTCATCTACATGGGAACTTCCTTCCCACCTTTCATTTACTAAGTTGGGTAGGTATTTGTTAATTCTTCATTATGTATTTTTACCTATTAACAAAGGGACCAACCTCAAACTTGAAACTGATCCAGAAGAATAAAATTGGCATAATTATCCTCATCTACATAATCCTTGGCCAAAGAAGTAAAACCTTTGATCAATTTATATCTAAATGGGCATCGATGTTTTTTTTTAATTTTATGTAGTATGTCTTATATCACAACATGATCATAATTGGACAATGCCTCACTTTCTCCTTTATCTAAGTATTATTTTTATTTGATGAGTTTATCAAGGATTCATTAATAATAATAAATCTAAATCTACAAATTCAAAATAAGAACATGACCTTTGTTTATTTCTGACATCTGTCTATAGCATCATTTCCAAAGAGGAATGACTAAGTATGTATTGTGCTGTATCTCAGAGTTTCAGACACTTCTTTTCATCATCCATGACTCACCTAAACTGGTCCATGTTGGGGTTTCTCTTTTCTTGATCCTTCAAGTCTATATTGGTATCACTAAACCTTTAATTACTCAATGATAACAAAATAAGTACATTATTCACACACAAAAAGAACCAAAGAGCAAGGTCCTTGAACGTCCCCACCATCAGCCGAAACAATCACTTCCCATATAGATTACATCTCTTCTATTATTCAACCTCAATGTTACATTATGGATTAACCAACATGTTCCATATCACGTTGATGGCTGGGACAATAATTAAGTTTTTAATTAATTTAATAATTTTAATGACACTGTGCATACTCTTAATCGAGTGACCTGAACCAAGATAACATCTTGGACTATTCATTACTCACTTTAGTCTCTTTCTTGACACAGAGGCAACATGACAATCTTGATCACAGCAGAAGCTGAAATCAGCTCCATCTCTTCTGAAAAGTACCAAGCAGAAGGTGATAAAAAGATTGAGACATTTTTCTCTATTGATCCATCCACCATTCACATACACAGTTATTTGGGTAATTATTTCAAATAGTAATATATACTTATCCTTCTCTTAAAAAATTAATTGTCAAAATTTTAACTATTTCTTAACACTATCTATAGTATATATCATACTTTGTCGAAATGTAATACACCTGGTGTATTTACTATTCATTCCAACTCATATTAATATCATTTTTATTTATTAGATATTTTAATAATAAATAATGCTTAGTCCTCTTCATCTTTTTCCATTTGTTTATTTGTTCATTTATTCTGCAATTTATATTGTTAAAAATACATGGCCACAAGCCCAAGAAAATGATCTTCTATATTCCTGACATGTGTCTACGTTCCCTTCAAACAACTGGAGTGGACTAGATTCCTTTTGTGCTGCACCACCTCAGGGTTCCAGACACATAATATTCATTGTACGTGCTCATAAGCACCACTCATCAACATTATTCCAGGTTTTGCCCTTTTATTCTTCACCTTTTTGAGATTAATTCAATAATTCACTAATAATCACAAAGTAAATTAATCAATGGTAAAAACCCAAGTTTCTTGAAACTCCCTAACCTCTGCCTATAGAATTATTTCTTACAGAGATTAGATCTCTTTCTGTATTTGGCCTCAATGATTCATGTATCAATTCATCAAATCATGCTATCAATACCAGCTTCATAAGTAGGCTATGGTTGGACTTCTGTGATTATATTTCACAGGTTTTTATACAATAAATACCGTTGGGCAAACCACCAGCCTCATCAAGGAATATGACTATAACTCACAGTGGTCCCCACACAGAGGCAACTACAATGTTTTTGATCACGGGGATCAGAGCAGAACCTTACCAGCAGCGAGCATCTACCCTGAGGAATACAAAGCATAGCAGATGAAAAACAGGTGAAGACATTCTCTGCATTGATCATTGTTTCCCACCTGTCATACTCTTAATCATTTAAATATTTACTAGTTGATTTTAATAATTAACTGTCTCTTCTAAAAGAAAGGACAACGTAGAATTCACCACTGATCTGAAGCAGTAACACCTACTGTTCCTGTTAGGGAAAGAGGTAACACCCTTAATCCACTGGTTTCCTAAGGGCCATTATATTAATGGCATTTCTTGTCTCATGTCATTATTTTATAATTAGACAATGCTTCACAGTCTTCGTCTTTATTCATTTATGTAATTATATAGATTACTTATTGATTTTTTCATAATACAGTAAAAATTAATGAGGCACAGAAGGCCAAAAACAAGATCTTTGTGTATTCTTAATCTTAACCTTTCCAGAGGTTCAGTCCCAACAGAGACATAGACTAGATCTCTTCTGCATTGGCCCTGACAATTGCAGACACATCCTACTCATTGCCCATGACCCTACCAGGGGTCCATCATTACTCCAAGATTTGCCCTTTCCCTCATCCATGTTTCTTGATTTACTAACTTTCATTTGACTAATAATAACAAAATAAATTTACATGATCACAATAATTCAATACAATGCTCTTAAGTCTCCCTAACAACTGTCTACAGAATAATTTCCCTCAAAACTATCATTAGTCAATGTTAGTGTTGCATAAATCTATTAAGGAACATATGTTCCACATGAACCCCATAGTGGGCCATGGTTAACTTCTTTTATTATACTTAACACATCTTATGAACAATACAGTTAATGTTCTTAAACAAGTCACCCATACCAACACAAGAGAGTTCGCTATTACTCACACTGGTCTCCATGCTCCTCACAGAGTTCTTGCCATGGCAGAAGTACTACATCAGCTAGGTGCCTTCACTCTGAGTATAAGCAATACAGATAATACAATATTAAGACATTCTTGCCATAAGTCCATACTTTTCTCATTTCATTTTCTTAGTCATTTGGGTATTTGGAGACTATTAATTTTTAAACAAAATCAAAACTATTTAACTTCCCAGGATCCCAGAACAGAAATGGTATTGTATATCTCTGTCTATTTAACTCCCTTCAATCCAACTGATAAGAGCAATTTTTTTTTCATAAGGAGGACATAACATGAGTAGAACTGATGAAGGATGAGGTTTCAACATATACTCGTCACTGGTCAGGAGCTCTGTCACCTTCATCTTATTAAATTATTCACCTGTTTGTTAATTACTGATGAGAAAATCAGTATGTCTGTGCACAAACTCAAAATGATAACTAACTGACTGTAATAGCAGGTGCTAACTGGCATGAGTATTGGGGAATAATATACTTTTTCCAAATTCCATGAGGAAAAATTGACAAAGTTGGAAATCTTTAAGGTGCACAGCCTGATGATTTGATTTACATTGTGGAATGATCACCCATGGGGCACCGTGAAGCCAAATGGATTGGTCTTAACTGTCATTGAACATATTTTTGTCACCGGTTCATGCTCGGCCATCTTTAATGTAGTTAATTGATTAAATTATATAATTGTTTGACTATTAAATTAAGTTTTTAAAAAACACCTGCTACATAGTTACAGCCCAGAACATGAACATTGGCAAATACATCTCCCTTATGCTTAGGGACAAAAGCCTCTCCATATTGTTAATGGACTTCAGTTCTCTGAAATGGACTGGGGATGATGTTTGTTTCATTACGTATGCCATCTTCCTTCCAAAATTGACCCATTTAGCCTTCATTTGTTCATACATTTGTGTAGTTATTATTGCATGAACTTTTAATAAGAAATCAAATCTGTTTTGCACTGGACCTCGGAGTTCTAGGTAAGCAGTATTTGCCCTTGACTCACCTGCCGCCAGGGCACCGTATTGACTCAGTATTCACCCTCTTGTTCTTCATTTAGTGTCATTTTGTGAAGAGAGAAATCATTAATTCATTAATAATAAATATATAACAAATTAATTTTTGAAGTAGCTTTAATATCCCTAAACATATGATACAAAATCATTTTCTAAAGAGCCAATAGTGTAGGTCTGTTCTGCTACTGAAGCTCAGTGTTGAATATATGGATTAGTCAATGTACTTTCTTCAGTGTAACCTCTTTATTGTTAATCCACGATTGGCATGGACTAATCTCTCCCATCTGTCTATAGAGTTATTTCCCTCAGCAACTCATCCCTTTTGTTAAATAACCTCAATGATTTGTATATAAATTAATGAACACAGTGCTTCATAGTAATTGCATTTTGATTGGCATGCACTGATTAGATTTCACACTTCTTAGTAATAGAGTGAATACCCTTAAACCACCCAAACTGAGACAAGAACGTGAATATTACTGACACAGAGATCTATGGTCGAGACCATCACCACAGAAGAATCCTGAAATCAGTTAGGGTGGGTCGGTCCTGGAGTACAGAGCATAGTAGGTGGTTAAAAAAGATTGAGATGTCTTATCTACTGATCCTTGCATATAACTTTTGATTAGTCATTTAGGATAATTAGCAATATGGAGAAATGTCTAAATTCTCCCAAGTGAGCAAATAACGGTGACCTTGCCACGGACACAGAATAGGAACATTGTCTATTACTATGAAATGCTAACTATAGAATCTATAGCCAAAGAGGTAACACCTGCCGACCATTACTTCCTAATGTGCAGGAGTTTTTTCTATACAGATGCATAGTATTTCCTATCTAACTAGATATCTTTATATTTGGGCAATTCTATGATCTTCATCTTTACCTATATGTTTTTATTGATTATTTCATTGATCCAGTTATAAATAGAATGACAGTACATGAAAGTAAATAAAAAACAAGATGCTCATAGATTCCTGAATTGTAGGGGATCCCTTCAAACAGGGCAATGGACTAGTATGCGTTTGTGTTGGGAGCCAGATACGTGTTGAGCGTATGTAACTCACACACCACCAGGAGTCATCGTTGATCCACGATGTCACTGTCCCTCTTTTTCTCTAATATTTTCTATAATTTCTACAGAGTAATTTATTCATTTATCAATATAATTTTAAGGTCCTATTATTCATAAAAACTCAAGAAAAGCCTTAATATCCCTAATCTTTGTATCAAATCATTCTTACATAAATCTCTAATTGAAGAATGAATATTCTTTGTATATATATTCATGGACATAATCAATGTTACATCAATGAATAAAAGAAATCTCACATTTGTCACTGGGCTAGAGTTGGCTTTCTTTGATTATATTTCACACTTTTTAATGATACGGTGAATAGCCATTAAAAAAAACGTTGGAACTGAGACAAGAACGTACTTACAAATAGAGGCAACCACAGAGCTCGTGACAAGCGACGATGCTGGAGTCAGCCCCAGAGCACCCACTCTGAGGAGTACAGAGCACAAAAGGGCACAGAAAGATGAGACCTAATCTCCATGGCTCCCTGACTCCTCCGTTTCATTATTCATTGATTAATGATCAGATATATTTGTTCTTTCTTAATAAATTAAACATCAGAATTGTAACTGACTCAGAGCAGTTACTATTACTTATCATTATATATCTCATTCTTAATCAAAGATGTAATACACTTGATCCATTTGATATTGATTGCAATAGACATCAGTATTATTTTTCTTCTATACATTTTAACAATGAACAATACCTCACCCTCTTCATCCATATTTATTTTGTCATTTATTCTTTTATAATAATATTTTATAAAATTTATGAACACAAAACCAAGAACAAGAGCTCTGTAAATTCCTGACATCTGTCTATACAATCACTTCTAACAGAAAGAAGGGACTAGGTTCCTTTGTGTTAAGATCTCAGAGTTCCAAACACATCCGTTTGTACTGTACATGTTTGAGTCATATGATGCCAGTCGTCATCGCTGTGACAGGCTGGAATTCTTTTCTTCGTTCTCATCTATACCTGTTTACTGAACAATCTGTCAATTCACTAATAATAAAAACATCTGTGAATAATAAATACTCAAGGACAAGTCTCTTAATATCTCTAATCTTTATCTATAGAAGCATTTGCCTCAATGAATATGCCTATGTAATTAATCCGCTTCATTGATACAAATACCCATTAATCAACATCAAGTTTCATGTCAATTCCATACTTCTTATGCGAGCATGACTAGTCTTCTTTGAACATATTTAATGCCATTTTATAGCATTACAGTGAATACTCTAAACAAACAATCTGAACCAGGAGAAGAACGTGGCTATGACTTACATGCACCTCTACAGAGGGCCGACCAGTGGAGCTCCTATGATGGCCAAGGGCTCGGTCAGCTACAGCATGTCCGTGCTGAGGAATACAAAGCAGAGAAGATTGTAACGAAATTGAGAGACGGTCTACTGAGGCACACATCACCTTCCACTTAGCCAGTCACTCAAGGATATAATATGTACTCATGAACAAACCAAACAATATCAAACTTGACACAGACCACGAATTAAAAACTTTGACTATTATTTACTGTCTGTATCATTCTTAACCAAAGAGGGAAGACAACTGAACCATTTAGATTTCTTAATGAATGACAGTATTTTCAATAAGCATTAGAAATGTTTATTGTCTCATCCTCTTCATCTTATTTATTCTTGTTCATTGGTTCTTTTTGAACCATTTATTAAAATGGGATCAAAATTCATGAAAATGAACCAAGGAAATGGTCCTTTTTAATTCTCTAATATCTGTCTATAGGATCAGTTCAAACAAAGGCACTAGACTATGTCTCTCTCTTTATTGGACCTCAGAGTTTCAGACACATTGTATTCATCATCTCCGTGACTCTTCCTCCAGCAACAGTCATCATTGGTCCACGCTGTGGCCTGTTTGTCTTCATTCTCATTGTTCTCTCTGTCTCATTAATTATCATCAATATTTCAAATCTGCATTAGTAAATATAATGCCTCATAATATCTCATATTTATCATTTCCTATGGTTGGTGTGGGGCTTATATTTCACACTTTTAGCAATACAATGAATACCCTTTTAAAAAATGCTTCAACAAACACAAGAACTGTAACCTTTACTCACATTTCATCTCAATGCTTTACACAGAGGAAACCATAGGTCGTGTTGCCATGGAAAACACTTAAATCAGCTTGAGCATGTTGATTCTGAGGAGTACAAGACAGAGCAGATAATTAAAAATTGAAGCCTTTTCTCCATTAGTCAGTTTCCTTCTCATTTCATTTCATCAGTTATTTAGGTATTTACTTCTTCAGAACATCTACATATAAGATATAAATATACATATTAAAAACTAACATCGTCAACTCAAGACTGACACAGGCCAATTAAACTGTATATTAATTCTCAGTGTCAGTGTTCATATAATCCTTAGAAAGGAGGTAATGCACTTGGTCCATTTCTTTCTTAATATCAGTTTTTCATTTTATGTTAATTGTATTTCTTGCATCACCATATATATACTTGATAAGTCTTCATCCTTGTTTTATTTAGTGATATATCTGTTTATTGGTTCTATCATTGATTCATTGACATTAATAGTAATATACTAGAAATCCATGAATCCAACATGACAACAACAATTTCCTTGCATATTCCTAATGAGAGAGGAAACAGACTAGATTTTGTTTCATTTTGGACCTCAGACTTCCAGACACATAGCAATCATAGTACCTCCTTCATATGCCATCAGTGATCATCATTGGTCCAGTTTGGGGCCTCTTTTTCCTCATTCTCAACTACAGTTGTGAAGTGTTCAATCTACTACTAATAATTAAACACATGTGTGTGAATCACAAAAATGCAAGGACAAGAGCCTAAAGATTGTTGTCACACTCCTTTAGGACCAATGGCTTCCTGATTATACCTCTTTTCATTAATCATCACCATTATTCCAAAGGTAAGGTAGTCAATATAATGTTTCGTACATTTCCAGTTTCATCACTGGACCATGGTTGGTCTTTTTCCACTTTTTAAATTACTACAGTGATATCCTAAACAAACGTCCCTGACCAAGACAAGACCTTTGATTATTACTCACACTGGCCTTCATGTCCCTCCATGGAGCTTCTGAACACAACAGATGCTGAGTCCCCTTCAGGCGGTTTCGTTCTGAGAAGTGCAAAGCAAAGGAGATGATAACAGGACGGAAACATTACCGCACCTTACATTTAGTCAATCATTTAGAAGATAGTTATGTGGGCTAATACTTAATATCATGTTTTTAGTGACCAGAATAAGATCGAAGATGGAAGGTACTGGAACCATTTATTTTTGGTAAGGGAATACAGTATTTTCAATAAACTGGAATTTTTTTTATTCGTTCACCACGGATTACAAGTGTATGATGTGGTTGAGTGTCGACCTCTGAATCAGGAGGCCCAGGTTTGATTCCCGATCAAGGCACATGCTCTGGTTGTGGGCTTGGTCCCCAGTGGGGGGGGTGGGGGGCAGGAGGCAGCCAATTAATTTTTCTCTCTCATCATTGATGTTTCTATCTTTCTCTCCCTTCCTCTCTGAAATCAATTAAAAAATTTTTTTTAAAGAGTGCATGTTATTCAGCTCTGATTTTTAAAATTTGTACATTGATTCTGAAATTAATCCATGTATAAAATAATAAAAATCCATTCATTTCTACATTTGTATCAAATAAATCATTAATTCATTCATAATAATTAAATGAACACATGACTCACAATATCCAAGGACAAAATTGTTGGATATCTCTCACATTTGTCTATAGAATCATTTCCCACAGAGGCTAATTCTTTTTTCATTAATCAACCTCAATGCTGTACATTATTGATTAATAATATAATGTTTCTTATCATTTGGCCATAGTTAATTTTTTATTATGTTTAATATTTTTTAATAATTCAATAAATATGTTTAAACAAATAATGCAGTCTAAGATGACAACTTAATGAACTTCAGTATTTTCAATAAATATTCATCTTTTTCATCATTCTTATCTGCATAAGTTCATTTATTAATTTATTGATTCACTTATATTAAATTTTAAAACTATATGATTCATAAAAAACAAGAATAAGAGTAATAAATGTTCCACATATAGGACCATTTGCCATATTATTGATATATCTCTTTAATTATCATTAATGTTTCATGGATGATTAATAAAGATAATCTTCAGACCAATCCCATATTTATAATTCACGATAGTTGGCATCTTGGACTATATTTCACATTCTTAATGACACATGAATATTTGAGAGAAAAAAAATCTCAAAGACATGAACTGTTTCAATGTATTACTCACATTGGTCTCTACTCACTACACAAACAGGCAACCGTAGAGCACGTGACCACGGATGATGCTTCAATCTGCTCAAATGCGTCCATTCTAAGGAATACAGAATAGAGCAGAAGGTGAAAAAATTGAGAACCCCTCTAAATTGACCCTTTTCCCCATTATTTCAGTTACTCAGTCATAAAGGCATATACATATATATTTATTATATGTGTAAAATTTATACACATATATAAACATAAATATAAATTAATGATATGACACCTTAGATAAATAATGCCCTTTGTCCATTTATTTCTTATCAGATTTTTCAGTTCATATTAATATTTCTTGCCTCACCATATATATTCATAGTTGATAAGACCAACTTAGTGAAGCCTTGTTTCCTTAGTGATATATTTGTTTGTTGGTTTTTATCATTGATTCATTGATATTAATAGTAATATACTAGAAATATATTAATCCAAAATTACAAGACCAATAGGAACAATTGCCGGAGAGGAAATAGATTAGATTTTCTTTTGTTTTAGACCTCAGACTTCCAGACACATAGCAATCATAGTACTTGCTTCATATGCCATCAGTCATCATCATTGGTCCAGTTTCGGGCCCCCTTTTCTTCATTCTCATCTATATGTTTATACATTAATTCATCAATCGACTAATAATAATTAAATACATATCAATGAATCACAAAAGATCAAGAACAATAGCCTTAAAATCTTTATCATTTTTTAAGAATCATTGGCTAATTGAATTTTATTAATCATCTTCATAATTTAAAAGTTAGATTAGTCAACATTATATTTCCAACTTAATTATCAGAACATAGTTGGTATTTTTTTCTTATATTGAACATTTTAAAATATAAACACAGAGAAACCCCAAACAAACCACCCAAAGTAAGATGAAGACATTGAAAATTACTCACGTTGGTCTTCATGCTCCTACAGGCCAATAGAAAGATCGCTGACCAAGGCATAATGCTTTATTCAGCTGGGGTGTGTCCATCTAAAAAGTAGAAAGCAGAATAGACAACACGACTGAGATATTTTCTCTATTGGTCTTTGCATTTACATTAAATTATTTGGTGATTAAGTTATATATTATTTTGGGGTAACTTTATTAAACTTTCCACTAACCCCAATATCGCTCATTATTTATATCACCTGTAACTTCCTCAGCTAAAGGTATCTTGGACCTCAGAGTTAAAGAGTATTCACCATCAATGACTCATACGCCACCAGTAGTCATCATTGGTCCAGGGTTAGCCTTTTTTATCCACTCTCATTTATGTGTATTAATTAATTCATCAATTTATCTGATCATAATAAAATTAAAAACTATGAAGCACAACTAAACTTAAGAGCATGAGCCTGTACTAGTCCTATATCTGTCTATAGGATCATTCATGACATCAATATATCTTTCATTAATCATCCTCAAAGTTTCATATAGGGATCAATCACTATAATGTTACATATCAATTCCATATTTAATAATGGACCATGGTTGGCTTTCTTTGGTTATAATTCACACTTTTCAAATACAGAGTATATGTTCACAAAACTCACATTTGTTTCTATGCACCAAACAGACAGACACCAGACATCTTGAGACCATGGGAGAATCTGCAGTTCAGGTCCAGTGCATCCATTCTAAGAAGTGCAAAGCACAGAGGGAGAGGAAAAGTTGAGACTTTCTCTGCACTGACTTTGCTTTCTGCATTTAACTTACTTAGTAACTTAAATATTTACTCATTTTCATAACTTACAATGCTTCACGCATTTATATTAATTTACTTGTATGTGTTTTTTAGTTCTTTCGCTAATCTATGCTCATAGAATCATTATCCATGAACACAAAAAGTGAAGAACATAATCTTTGCATGTTACTAACATCTGTCACTATGGTCATTTCCAACAGAGGAAATAGATTAGATTTCTTTTTGTGTTGGACCTCAGAGTCCCGACATACAGTATTCATCATCCATGACTCATACCCCACCAGTCGTCATCATTGGTCCAAAATTGGCCCTCTTCTTCTCCATTAATTTCTAATTTTCTTTATTAATTAATTTATCACTTCACTAATAAATAAATAGATAAATCACAAAAATTTAACAAGATTTTTAAGTTTTATAGCCATGTGATCATTTATCAGCTTGATTACATCATTTATTAATCAATATTTTGCAAATATTGATTAAGCGGCACAATGTTCATCTGGCATATGTTACTATGACATCATAAGAATGTCATATTTATGATTGGGCCATGGTTGGCCTTCTTGAATTCTTTTAACAATACAGGAAATATCCTTTAAGAACTACCCAAATCAAGACAAAGTGTGTGACTATACTCACATGAGTCTCCATGCTGCTAACACATGGAGGGAACTAGAGAGCTTCTGACCATGGAAGATGATTAAATCTGCAGGGAACGATCATTCTGAGAGTACAAAGCAGAACAAATGATTAAAATATGAAAATATTCTCTTCATTTATCCTGAATTCCTCCTATCATTTTATTACACATTTAAGTCTGTATTAAATTATGATATTTTTTCTTGAGAAAACAATGTTGAAGAAGGCACAGAACAAATAAGAGCATGGACTGTTATTTGTAGTGTAGGTATCATTCCTTAGGAAAAGAGGTAATGCCTTTAAGACATTTATTTCTCTTTTTTTAAATATATTTTATTGATTTTTTACAGAGAGGAAGGGAGAGGAAGAGAGATAGAGAGTTAGAAACATCGATGAGAGAGAAACACCGATCAGCTGCCTCCTGCACACCCCCACTGGGGATGTGTCCACAACCAAGGTACATGCCTTGACCAGAATCGAACCTGGGACCCTTCAGTCCACAGGCCGACGCTCTATCCACTGAACCAAACCAGCCAGGGCAAAGACATTTATTTCTTAATGAACTTCAGTGTTTTTAATATATAGTAATAGTATTTCTGGCCTCACCATATATTTACATAATTGGACAATGCTTCACCCTATTTATTCATATATTTATATTAATCCTTTCCATTTATATTAATAAAATTAAATATCATGAACACAAAACTAAGAACAAAATCCTTGAATATTCCTAACATCTGTCCATAGGAATATTTCAAAGAAGGTACAGATTAGATTATATACTGTGTGAAATAAACAGGCACATAGTATTCATCACCCATGACTCATACTCCACCAGGCATCACCATTGGTCCAGATTGGCCCTCATTATCTTCAATTGTGTCTACATGTTTTTACTAATTAATTCATCCACTAATAATAATAAAATAAATGCCTACAGGCCATAAAACTTGAAACTAGATCCTTGAATATTTCCAGTATTTCTCTACAGAATTACTTCCCACTAACAGTATAGATATACTTATATAAATCCTATATTGTCAGTAGGAAGTAATTCTGTAGAGAAATATATATATATATATATATATATATATATATATATCTTTCATTAATTGACCAATGCTTGCTATATAAATGAATGTAAACTTTAACCCCATTTGCAATTGAAGCTGACTAAATTGTGTCTCTGTAAAAGGAGGTTAAAATGAACTGTGACTCAGAATTAAAATTGAATAATACATTTTACATTAATTAATTGAATAATTAACTCTTAAAATGAATAAATGGTCTTACTTTTTCCTCCTTAGTTGACCTCAGATGTGCTAAATTGGCCCACACATAACCTTAATTCATTTTATTTGTATATGTAACTATTTATTTCCTTTCAATAAGAGTTAAGGCCCTATGCCCTAGCTGGTTTGACCACTGGATAGAGGGTCAAGGGTCCCAGGTTTGATTCCAGTCAAGGGCACATGCCTGGGTTGCAAGCTCAATCCCCAGTAGGGGTTGTGCAGGAGGCAGCCAATTAATGATTCTCTCTTATCACTGATGCTTCTATCTGTCTCTCTTTCTCTCCCTTCCTCTCTAAAATCAATAAATATATATACTTTTTTAAGAGTTAAGACCCATGACAAACCACCAAGTCAGAAGTGATTCCTTTGAGTGTAACTAACGTTTCTACATTCCTTTAATTGAATCATTTGTGCATTCATTCTGTAAATGCAAAGCAAATATAAAAATAGATTAGATTATATAGGCAGGCAGATCAGCATAGAGTCAGATTTTTTAAATTGATCTAAGTCAAAAATATTTGACTAAAAATAAACCTTAGTGTTTGTTATATATTAAAACTCTGAATGGCTTATTGATCAATTGCTTCAAATATTAAATTTAACTTATATAATGAACACCTTTGAAACCAACATCAGACAAAAGAATAATGTTAACTTATTCTTTTACACATAATAATATCATTAATACAGAAACAGGATAATATTAATGACTGTCCATATATTCATTGGGCACAAAAAGAAAAGACCAAATAATCTTTTCTGTTCTTTTTAAATTAAAAAAATATTGAAGATCATTGAATTAATACTAACTGGTCATGTGACACATTCAACATAGTCTGTGTCTAAGTCCTCTCAATTATGCAGCGATTTAATCAATGATTAGTTTAAGTTGATGTTTTGCCCTTTTCTATAAAACAAAAAACCAATAACTCAGCCCAGAAAAATAACATCGGCTCATACATCCATTTATCTAAATGCTCTTTACCCAAAAGGGTCAGCTCTAATAAATTTATTTATTTTACTGCAATGGTGCTTCAGAAATGTATTAACAATGATTTTATATTATATATATTACACTCCATATTCTCATATTCGAATCAGGAATAATCCATTTTCTCTTTATTCATTTATATGTTTCTTCAATGATTCATTCATTGATTTAGTGAAAATACAATACTCAGAAACCCAACAACAAACTCCTTCATATTCATAACTCCTAGCATAATCTCATGTGCCACTCAGATCACAAAGAGGAATGTTCTGGTAATGGACCCCAGAGTACAGGGTTTAATTAAAATGCTTGATTTCAGAATGATCCAGACACACTCATCATTGACCCAGGGTGAACAATCTTTTTCTACATTTATACTTTTGTTTATTGATCCACTAATAGCAATAAAGTCAATATTCATTATTTTCTATAAAAGCCAAGAATATCCTTGACTATGACCAAGATGTCTTTCTAGGCTCTTTTGGCATGAACTCAATTTTATTCTCAATAGACGAGATCTCTTTCAGCAGTGGCCATCAGTGAGGGAACAATTAACATCCTTGCCTCACACCTATCCTATCCCAACTACCTTCCATCTCCGGATGCACGCCTCCCTCAGTGAGGAGCCATCCAGGAGAACGGTGCATGGTAACATGAATGTGCTATGACTGGGCTCTCCAATCCGGTCGCCATTAGCCACAGGTAACTAAGGACTTCAAATGTGGCTAGTGCAACTGAGGAACTGAATGTAACATTCACCTTTCCTTTAAATTTAAATGGTCACATATGGCTAGGGGCAACCAAATTAGACAGTGCAGCCCAAGAATTTAATGCTGGATAAATGTTTAAATCAAATGCAGAGCAAAAATAAGACGGATTATTAATCAGAGAAAATGTCTTCCATCTTGTTTTTAACCGCAATTGTACTGAATTGGTTTAACCCTTAATCTCTGTGTCATAACACATTCATATTAGGAACGTTAACAAGTTCTTTGACCATTATTTACTTCAGTCTTTAGGTTTCTTACCCTAACAGCCAAGATCTTCATCAGCAGACTGATGACAGCAACCGTGGTCTTCAATCTATGGAGCCAAATATATGCCAAGTTCAAGGCCATGAGCAGTCCATATCTACACTGAATTAAATGACATTACTTTTGTGGTACTAGGTTAGTCATAGGGTCAATTCAAGTCTCATTGTTATCATTGAAAAATTCAGTCTATATCCATAAAGTGATCAAGGGGGCTGAACAGCCCCAATTTCCGCTATAAGTTCACTTCCCTAAGGAAGAGCGGAGGATACTGTGTGATAATGGACCTGAGAGTTACAGGTGGCTTTAATCAATGTTTTTGATTCAGACACCCTCCACAGTCATCATTGGTCCAGGCTTGGCCTCTTTTTCTTAATTCATTTATACTTTCAGTTTCCCATGAATCACAAACTTCCAAGAACAAGGTGCTTGATACAACTGTGGTCTGTCTCTAGACTGACTTCTCACAGAGATTTTAGATTAGATCTCAGTGTGAACCTTGCTTCATACAATATCTCCGCTCAAAATGGCCCATGGTTTGGGCCGTGTCCATTTAACTTGGCCAATTTAAAGCATGAAGTCATAGACACTCAAAACCCACAAGGGAACCCCACATCTAGGACACAGACAATGTGTTCCACCTTCTAAGAGCTTCCTCTCAACAGTTAGCCTGGATTTCTACCAATATGAAATACTTAAATCAACTGTGGTGCAGAAAGAATAGGGAATAGCAAACCATTCTCAAAACTAATTAAATGCCTTCCATCGTTTGAAGAAATGAATCTCAGGTGTACTCTAATGGGTTAATTTTTTTATGAATTTATCTTTATTGTAGAAAGTATTAGATGCCCACTTTGGGGTTTTTTGTTGTTGTTTTTTCCCCATTGACCCCCTCCACTCTGCCCTCCCAAGCCTTTGCCACACTATTGTCTATGTCCATGGGCTATGCATATATGCATAGAAGTTCCCCCGTAACTATCTCCCTCCTACAAACTACAAACCCCCTTCTTCTCTATGAAAAGAGGGTAATAGTTTTAGGTACCAAACACATGCAATTTTGGGTCTATACTTGGTTTTCTTGGACTTTATTTGTTTATATAGCTGTGTTCCACTAAACCACCTTAGTGACCACACATGACCAAACCATATCAGCCGAGAACAGAAACTGTGTTACTTACATTGCCCTTTTCCCACAGACAGAGGTGACAGCTAAGATCTTCATCAATGGACAAGGACTGAATCCCATGTGGAGTGTTCATTCACGAGGAAAAGCAGATTTTTAAAAAGATGAAAGGCGTAAATTGAGATTTTTAAATAGTAGTTCATTGATCATTACTAAATTATTCATACACATTGGTTTGTGTCACATTTTCATCAACCCAATAGCCATGTACTTTTCATCTATTGATCTACCATCAAACATAAGAATTATAGCTATTATAAAAATATTCATATCTGCCTACATACCCCTACCAAATAGCAAAAAGGACACCACTTTCTATTGGGGGAAAATTTTACCAAATGAGATTGTTTCTTGAAACACTAAGTAAAGTTAAATCTATCCAATGGGACAGGCTGTGCTTCCTTTCACATATTTATTGATTAACTTATTTATTCAGTTATTTAATAACTCTAAGGTTAATTTAACTATCTGCTCTCTTTGCCTAAGGGAATCACAAAAGGGCAGAGCGATTTGCTACCCAAAGCTCCACAGACTACACGCAACTTTCTGTCTCAGCACCGTCTGCACTGATGGAACTTGCCACAGAGATGAAATGTTGCTTATGGGCACTGCCCAATATGGCAGCCACTGGCCACATAGGGTTAAAATGTGGCTAGTGTCAATGAGACATTGAATGTTCTTATTAAATCAATTTGACTTGAAATGCTAATAGAAAGATGCATTTAGAGGGGCCTGGATCTTTGTTATTTAAGTGACTTCATAAGGTTAGAGCAGGATGAATCCCGCCTCTGCATACACCACATATTGCCTCACTGCCCCTGCTTTATGCTTTTCTAAGGGATTGGATATGAAATTATTCTTTCATTTGCTTATTATAGCACCTAAGGACAATGGGCAAGGACATGCATGGAGCTAAATTTATCCATTGGCTTTTTCTATACAAAATGCATTTACATTTTTGTTTTTAAATAAAAAATCAATGAACACAAGGGAATTAGTAGTCACATTTCTCAGTGCTCATATTTAGACCTTTTCCACATTTCAATAACTATCTGATCGTTTGCATACTATTGTTATTATTGATTATATTAGATGATTATATATTAAAATAATTTTATACTAATGTGTTTATCATTTTTTGGTGTATTACTATTGAGCTTATTATATAAAGTATTATTGATTATTATGCAATTATGTAAGTTTTTGTCCCTTTTTAAAATAAAACCTACAACAGAAACTCACCACCAACTCAGAAAAACAACATCTATCTGCCCTTATGCCTCAAATATACTTTATTTGAACTCAAAATTTCAAAAATGTATTACCAATGACCCTTGGTTCATTGGCTCCTATCCTAATTAGGTAAAGAGCAACCCTCCTCTTTATACTGTACTCATGTGTTGATGTACTCATAATAATATAATTCATATTCATGAACAACAAAACATCAAGAACACGTCATTGAGTTTTCCCGGTTTCCTCTGTAAGCACATTTCCCATTGACGCAGTGGACCTCAGGAGCCGCTGGGTAATCAGAATATTTTTTCAGAATGCCCCAACCATTTCTTCATCATCGATCCAGACTTGGTACTCCGTGCTTCCATTTAATATCTTGTTCTTGACTTATTCATCAGTTTATGAATAATAATACAATCAATGTCCATGAATTATGAAGACAAAACCGAGTTCCTTGAGGATATGAATGTGTCTCTGAAACCAGTTCCCCCAGAGCTGGAGGAGTGGCCCTATAGTCTAGACCAGCGGTTCTCAACCTATGGGTCGCGACCCCTTTGGGGCTCGAACGACCCTTTCTCAGGGGTCGCCTAAGACCATCAGAAAACACATATATAATTACATATTGTTTTTATGATTAATCACTATGCTTTAATTATGCTCAATTTGTAACAATGAAAATACATCCCGCATATCAGATATTTACATTACGATTCATAACAGTAGCAAAATTATAGTTATGAAGTAGCAACGAAAATAATTTTATGGTTGGGGGTCACCACAACATGAGGAGCTGTATTAAAGGGTCGCGGCATTAGCAAGGTTGAGAACCACACTGGTTTAGAGGCTAAGCAATGTGCTGTGCTTAGTGTTTTACTAAGACAGGGCAATTCATTTGAGTGAATGGTGAGAACATGAACTCTGATTATAACTTACATTGATCTCTTCTTTCTTTACTCCAAAGCGGGAAAAAGCAAGATTGTCACCACGAGATAATAATATAATCTGATAGCGTTCATTCTGAGGAGTAAACAACAAATTTTTAAAAGAATCAGTATACCTTGGGCTATTTTAAAGGATCAATAATCAATTAATCAAAGACTTAAGCCCTATTTTAACATTTGGAAAAAGAGAGCATCCACTACCTTATATTTATTAACATGAGCAATTTTATTTTTATTTATTTTTTTATATATTTTATTGATTTCAGAGAGAGGAAAGGAGGAGAGAGATAGAAACATCAATGAAGAGAATCATTGATCAATTGCCTCCTGCACACCCCACACTGAGGATCGAGTATGCAACCACGTGCCCTGACCAAGAATGGAACCGTGACCTCCTGGTTCATAGGTCAATGCTCGACCACTGAGCCACGCTGGCTGGGCAGCATGTGCAATTTTATATTTTAAGTAATATAATGAGCACCAGCGTTGCTAACATTAAAAATAAACAAACTGTTTTTATAGGAATATCTGTCTGTAATTGCTGCCCACATAGGTAACAGCCAAGATCATCTTTTATGTTGAACTTTGTGCAGAACTGGATATATGGCGGATTCAATGCATGGCCCAATCTCACCAATGGTCCAAGTTTAACTCTACTGAATATATTTATTCAGTCACTTGCTTTACTTAATTACTGTGGGGTAAGAAGACCATCTCTTCATTTTCCTAAAAGAATTCCCAAAAGTATAAACAACCATCAAAATAGAACTGAAACATTGTTATTTGCCAATGTTTAATGCACGATTGGAAAGTCCTAGAACCCTTGTCTTCCTATGGATATCAGTTGTGTAAAACATGATGAAGCATGATGTTTACACCCAACTGCATGCTTTCCATTGATGTATTGTTGGCTGATTGAAATATAAATGTATACATTTGTTCATTTATAATTATACTTCAATGTATGTGAGACCACCCACACTGGATAAGTACCTCAATAATATTTACATATGTCCTTATGTCCTTAGCCAAAAGAATAGCACACTGGTTCCTTTAACGAAGGTTTGCTTACACAAAATTGCATTAAAAGGTTGCATTAATCATTACTGTGTTTGTATAAAACAGTCTCATCATTGCTCCATGCTCTCTCCCTCAATTCCATAGTTTATTCAATCAAGGATTTATGTAAATGTATTTCCCTTTCCTTAATAAAATGACCAATTGGCTATCTGCCTCAACACAGAACCAAAACACTGCCTCTTAACAGATGACCATATGCTCTTTACTGAGGTGCTAAGAGCCTTGACTACTAATTCATTGGAATTGAGAATTTCAAAATTGCCTTTTAATAATTGTCCATGTTTCATTCAATGGGATAAAAGCAGTGTACACGTATTACTCTTACTTTTCATTCATTGACATATTTCTTTATGTGTGTGTTCATTTTATTATAATAATGCATTCACACCCCAAACCGCAAAGCCCAAGAAAAAGGTTCTGTAGGCTCATTAGGAGATAATGAGGTGTGTCAGAGCAATGGACCTCAGTTTTAGGATTTAATCAAAATTCTTGCTTCAGAAACCCCATGACACTCATCACTGGTCCATGCTGGGAATTTTTTAAAAATGATGATTACTTTCCTGGTTCACAAATAATAATATAATTACAAAATTCCAAAACAAGATCCTTGAATTTCAGGCTCTTGTTGCAAAGAACTAATAAACTCCATCTCTGTGTAATGGCACTCAAGCTGCACATGGGATGGGACAACATCCCTGCGTTTATATTCCGCGTTCTTCCTGTGTGGCCCTCTTTCATTTCATGTGTCCATATGTCAAAGATGTTTCCATTAAAAATAATGAAAGCACCTTCTGCAAGTCACTGCCCCCAAAGAGTTACCCGCCAGCTCTATGCACATGAGAATGTGTGCGTCGACCCTGGCTATATTAAACTGCGCTGAGAATGAATTCAATAACTTCTATCATCTTTTAAAATTGCCTCAGTTGTACTGATTTAGATTAAACATAACATTTGGATTATAATCCATTCCCATCACGGGCCCACACTTGGAGTGTTTTATTTATTTCATGTATGTAGTACAGAATGATTACTTTAAATTTCTTTGGATAACGCCCATGAACAAACACTCCAAGCAGAGAATGTAAACTAAGGGACTCACTTATATTACTTTTTGCACCGTGCTCACGAAGACAATTCAGCTGTCCCCCATTCTCTCTGGAGAGGAAACAGCAGGTTTAGACTAGATTTAGATTCTTTTTATTTTTTTTATCAATCCAGTATTAAAGTCTTAGCTTTAAATAATATAACAAACACTACTACATCCACCACGTAGCCCAAGATTAAGATCTATAATGTTATAAATCTCCAACTATATGAACATCTATTAATTAGGTGGTTATTTAATAGACTACTGCTATATTGTGGTTATTTAATACTCACTTTTCCTTTCTTTTATATTAGAAAAAAATACCCAGCAAATGACTAAAACTCGAAAACTGCCTACCTACAGATGCTAATATGTTCCATGTGAAAGAGGATTATAGACTAAACCTGTTCATTTTCCTTCAGAATTATATTAAGTTATTTTACTGCAATGTCCCAATTGTTCCATGAATAAGCTTCTTCGTTGTTCATATATATATTTCTGTGCTTATTCATGTATTGATTCTACTGGAAAGAATACAACCTATACCCATGAATCACAAAAGCCCAGACCCAAGTTTATTGAATTTTCCTAACTCCTACTCTTAGCTAATTTCTACAGGGAATATTGACTAGTCCTTTTTCCATGATGGACCTCAGAGTCACCGAGACTTAATGAAAGGGGTGTGTTGACTCAGATACCTGCACCACTATTCATCATTGATCCAGGCACAGCTTTCTATTGCTTCTCTCAATCATGCCTTTTTTAACGGATTCATACATTCATGGATTCATGAATAATAGTAATTATATAATCAATAAACTCTAATGACACAAGACTGAGAAGAAAAGCCTTAAATGCAACCAAGATCTATCCTTGCCCTTGTCCACATGGAGCAAATTGACAATCACTATTCACAGGGGTCAGCCAGCACCGTCCTTCAGGTCAGACCCTTACTTATGACTAGTGTCCACCTGCTCCTCTCACTAGTTGGTGTAATCAGTAACCACAGACCTGTCTGTTACCTCAGCCCACAAATGACAAAACTGACATCTGTTATCTTGGAAGGTATCTAGCCTCAAAGAGCGAACAACTGAGATCTGTATCAGTGAAGGAATACATTAGGCAAATGTGACAACAACTTTGAATGAGAAGTTAAACTGCTTTCAACAGGTGTGACATGCTTCCCCCTATCACTTTCCTGAGGGCCCTTAGTTGGGCTGAGTCAGAATTAATCATTCGTTTCAGTTCATGCTACATTGGAATCATGGGTGCATGACTGATATTCCTTAATTCCACATATTATTTAACTATTTATTGTATTGAAATAATTTTGTGGGCACCCCATCTATGCTTAGAACTGATGTTTACTTACATCAGTCTTTAAACTCCTTAGTCCCAGAAGTGACAACCAGGGGTCTTCACCATCAGAAAACAATTAAATCAGTGGTGCTCATTCTATAAAGGGAAGATAATAGTCTTTCTTTAAAAATGAAGACAGAGTTAGCCGTTTTCTTTATTTTTAATATGTTTTCATGGATTTCAGACAGAGTAAGGGAGGGGGACTGAGACGGAAAAGCAATCAGAGAGAATCACTGATTGGCTGCCTCCTACATACCCCCTACTGGGGATCAAGCCCACAACCAAGGCATGTGCCCTGACCTGGAATCAAGCAGTGACTTCCAGGTTCATGGATTGTCACTCAACCACTGAGATACACTGGCCGGCTGGGAGTTAGTCTTTTTAAATGGAAATTTGTCAGAAAGACTAGACTAATCATAAACTCTATCTCACACCACTCTTATCTTCTCAAGAGTGGCAAGCTTACGTTTCCTTAAATTTTACTATTAAATAATATGAACACCATTGAGTTCATTGTTCAATACAAAATAAAAACTATGCCAATTAATGACCTGTGACTATATTTGCTACCTACATAGGGAGAGACAAAATAATATTTCCATTGGGCTTATTTGTGTAGAATTAGGCATATTTAATTTGTTTCATGGTACAATCTCATCTGTAGGTACAATCTCATCAATCCTCTACTATAGGTATTTATCAATTTATTCACTGGTTTATTTTATTATTGAGGGAATAACAATACCATGACCTCATTTTTCTAAGGACCCAAAATGGTTAAACAACAATCCAGAACCAAATTATTTTAACTTGGAAAGTTCTACGTGCACCTTTCAAATAATAGCAGAGCCCAGACTTCGTCCTAGAATATGTGTTGCTGGGAGCAAAGATGAATTGGTAAACTCATGTCAAAATGTGTTCCTACTTGGTCTGTGGTTTGCTGAATGTTCAAACATAGATTAAGATATAAAATTATATTTCTCTCTATACAAAGACTTCAGTCTCTGAGATCTTATTTACTAGATAAAAACACGGAACTCTACCATCAATAACAGACTTGCTTCTGTTTTGTGTTTTAATAAAAATCAATAAAAAGGTTAATCATGAGTATTGTCATATAAAACATTCTCATCTTTGGTCTCTGTGCTAGGTTTTCAATTATGTAGTTATTTAACCAACTATTTATATGAGTAAATGTGTTTCCATTTCCTTAATAAAACAATCAGTCAGCAATCCACCACCAACACAGAACAAAAACTCTAACTGTTAATGTGCAAGTGACAGTGTATATGGTCCTTTCCAGAGCCGAGAGAGCTTTTACTTTTAGTTCTTTGGAAGTTGAGCCTCAGCCAACTTTTAATAATAATCCATGTTTCATTAAATTTCTTGATAATAGGTAAATGACCTATCCTCTTTTTTCATTCATTTTATTTACTTTTGGAGGAATTTTATAATAAAAATTATAATCCATCCCCAAGAATCAAAAGAAGACCAAACACAAGATGACATGAGTTCATTCCTAGTGGACCTCAGAACTGCATATGGCTTTA